AAATTTACAGTGAAGTGGAAACGGATTTGAAAAATATCAACATGAAGTGGACACATTCCCTGCATTGTACTTGTCACATATGCACCATTTATCTGTCTGTGCTTGTTGGGCATTTATTAAAAGACTTTTATGCACATTCACATACACATATATCTTATTCACTTCTGGGAGTAAAGTTCTATTGAAGTCAAATGTTAAAAATATGGAATAAAGCAACCCTAAGCTGTATCCAATTTTGATAGATGTTTTATTTTTAAATAAATTATGTTCCAGTACTTCAAAGAACCTTACATATGCACAGAGGACATGCAAGCACGTACAAGTTTCTTTGAAATAGCATAGCATATTTCTGATAAAAATCTGAATTTTCTTCTGTTAGAAGTGCTTTATGCTACTAGCAATATAGCCAAGTAATCTATGGTATAAATCAAACCTTACGTTTTTCAGAGGGTAGATTCCAATCAGGGGAAGTATGCATTAGTTTTCCAAGTTTACAGCATGATGCACATATGCTATGATCAGCTTTAAACTCAGACAGTCACAAAACTACAAAACCTAGAACTGCTTAGAGATCTAGAACTGAAGATAACAGGAAAATCTTGGTCAGGTTCAAAGACCTCTGGAACTGGCCATGATGCTGAAAAAATTATGTGCACAGTGATATCATGATGCATACCCCATCTTTTCATAATTGCTTTCCAATGTCAGGCACAAGTGCGTAAATCACTGTGTTAAGTCATGTTCCATAATTTTCCTCCTTACCATAGATGCCTGTAGTCAAAAGTATAGATCCGTGATGGCGAACATATAGCACGTGTGCCACAGGTGGCACGCGGAGCCATATTGATGGGCACATGAGCGTTGCTCTAGGTCAGCTCCAGTGCGCATGTGTGCACTGGCCAGCTGTTTTTCGGGCCTTCCGGTCCCACCGGAAGTTGGCAAATGGGCCATTTCTGGCCTCCAGAGGGCCTCTGTGGGGTTGGGGAAGGCCGTTTTCACCCTCCCCAGGCTCCTAGAAAGCCTCTGAAGCCTGGGGAGGACAAAAAATGGGCCCACCAGGCCCACCGTGCCATTGCGTGCCAAAAGCGTGGAGAGCATGGGGGGGTCGTGCGCACATGCATGGGGGGGAGGGGTACATTGAATTATGGGTATGGGCATGCGACCCCCCCCTTCCCCTGCTTTTGGTATGCGACGGCAAAAAGGTTAGCCATCACTGGTATAGATGATCTTATAGTAACCTTTTTACATGGCTATCCTTTGGCTATATAGTAAGTTTCTTACACGACTATTCCATGGCTGTGGAATAAAGAGCAAAACAGAAAAGTCTTAATGTTGAGGAGTCCTTTATGCTCTCTGAGCTTGTTTTCTTGCGATAACTGTAGATGTTATCTACTTTGGGTAACAAAACATCTGTAATGTACCAAGACAAATTCCTTGTGTGTCCAATCACACTTGGCCAATAAAAAAAAAATTATTCTCTTCTATGTAATGAAACATCTGCAAGAAAACAACAAAGCTCATAGAGCATCTAGGACCCCTCATTACAACTTGGATCTACAAATATTCTCTTATCAGTCTTAATATTCATTGAGTTATCCAGCCAGACTGTAACTAATTTTACGATGGTTGTAAAAATATACTTTTCAAACAAGTGTGTGATAGCTTTTCTTCTCAGTTAAGAGTTTTGTTAGACTTCATTATTGCTGTTTCTTGACTCAAATGTGCAGTTTCTAGATCTTAATAAAGCAATGATGCAGCGGTGTTCCAGTTTAAAATGTGGCATTGATCTTGTTCTTCACCTGGGAATTTGAAATCACCTGCAAGGTTATGTTTGTTTCTTTTTATAGTACTCAGTCCTGAAAAAGGAATGGGAAATAACCACCCAATTTCTCCTCATTCAGTTCAGGAAAATTAAAATACGCTTAGTAGCAGTTTCTGTACCGATGTCCTGTTTCTCACAGGTGATTCCTCAGAGTTCTCAATTAGGCCAGCGTTTCTAGGTCGTGTTGCATTGCTGGGAGATTTCCCCACACCCAGCTATGATATCAAATATCAAATATCATTCAAATGCTGATAAAGGAGCAAAAAAAGTCTTGTAGAAGTTTTCTAGAGATGTGCCATGGGTCCTGTCTTAGGATAAGAAACATGGAATACTAAAATAAGAAACTCCTGTCAATGAGCTGTTAAATCAGGGTGATCTGCATGAGAGAGTCCATACATGAAATAAATTATTAATCACCAGCTCAGATGGAATGACTGAACTTTCCTACAAAGATTGCCCTAAAGGTAGTCCTCAACACAATTGGGACTGGAAAATTCATTGTTATATGGTGTGGCCGTTAGGCATCATATGATTGCACCCAATTTTATGACCTTTTTTTTTTTTTGCCATGGTCATTAAGCGAATCATTGTAATAGTTAAGCAAGACAACAGTTGACTATGATTGGTGACCTTCCCTGCTGGCTTTCTCACTTTGCTTGTCAGGAGATAGTTGAGAAAGTTGCAGATGGTCACATGACTTTAGGAAGCTGCAATTGTTGTAAGTGTGAGCTGGTTGCCAATTGCTTGGATCATGATCAAGTGGCTGTGAGGATGCTGCGATGGTTTTAAGTGTGAGATCTGGTTGAAAGCCACTTTTTTCAACATCGTCATAACTTTGAACAGTTGCTAAACAAGGCAAGGAGTGCCTGTATTAAAATAATATAAATGCACTTAGGCCAAATTCTAACTTCATTTTCACCACTGTGGTTTCTGCAGGATATAAACTTTAAATGAACATATAACCTTTTAAAGGAAATTATTTTGAAACTTGTCAGATATTTAGCAAGGTGGATTTATTCTTTGAAAAGTGTGTTATATCAACCCTGTTATGAAAGGTGTCTAGCACTAGCTGCAAAATTTGATAGCATAGTAAATAGATTGGAGCCTCCTAACAGAAAATTTTGACATTATTTGATTCATTTTTTGATTTGTTTCAATCATTTAGAGTCTCAGATTGTGGTATTAAATGTCAGCATGAAAGTATTCCCATTAATCATGCAAAACTTAGTTATGCACTAAAACTCACATTGCATAGGTAGAAAGTACCAGCAACTTCTAACAAAATGATTACTCCATGGATCAAAGCAAGCGGGAGGTGAGAGATCTATGAATAGGCTTTTCCTCAAAACCTTACCTGCAGTTTTCTTAGCGAGGTTTTTCAGAAATGGTTTTCCATTAACTGTATTCTAGGGCTAAGAGAGAGTGAGTGGCTTTGTGCCTAAAATAGGACTAGAACTCATAGTCTCTTGGTTTCTATAGTCTGGTGCCTTAATCTCTATACCAAATTGGCTCTTTATATTAAACCATGCTAAATCTCTATTAGCTAAGATGTCTTTCTGCTGCTTGATGAAGACTATTCTTTTGCAGGAGTATAAGTGAACTGTATTTTGGTGTTTTAGCTCTTCGTTGCTGTTAAGGTTTCATTTTTATTTGTTTTAATTTTTAGTATCATATTAATTTCTTTTAATTCTCTTTATGGTGAAAAGGGATTACAACAATGTTAATCTACTCCTACTGTGATGTTATTGTAAGTTTGCATACAATGAACCTTGTGCATAAATTATACTATTGGATCATAATAGTTGGCTCGGATGAATCTATGACATCAAATTCCATCTTGGCTGTTACTCGCTATGCTGAGGATATTATGTTTGATCATGCATTTTTCCCTTTATTGGGTAGAGAGATCATCTGCCTTGAAGGAGATGATGAAATAACTCTTCTTCTTTTTTTTTTTTTTACTATTTAAAATAACTTTAGACCAGAGTTAGCTTCATCACTTCCAGTGAAGGTAGGTCTGAGAGTGATGGTAAATCAGCTATTAGTACAGCTGTATAGTTTTCTGGGTCTATTTCAATTTGGTGTTCAAGAAAGTCATGACATACAGATGTACTAGTTAGTCTAGTGGATGATGTTATAAAAGCTATATTTCTATAGCTTTTGATGTCATTAGCCGTCCTGGACTGCATTGGGAAGGGTTTTTGGGGAGAGGTTGGGGGAAGAGAGGAGAGAAGAAAGCAATGGCTCTGCTATCTACTATTACTAGTAGTATAGTTCTGCTTCTATCCTGGAGACAGATGTGTGATGAGATATTTGGGGAACTGTTCCATCTTGCAGCCCCTGTACTATGTGGTACCATAAGATTCCTATTCTGACTGTTTTAACATCTGTATGAAGTTGTTAGGTACGATTATTATCAGGGTGGATAAAAATCGATGATTTTGTAAAAATAATGAAAAAATTGATTTTTTAAAATTTAAATCAGATTATTTAAATTTTTTATCAAATTTATTTTAATAAAATGCTTTTCGAGTAAAAATCTATCTAAATATAGTTTTCTATTTAAGATACATTAATAATTTAGTTTATTCAGCATGAAATGGAACTTAGTTATATAACATGAGGCTGTATATTCTGCAATATTTACATTTTTGGTAAACTTATTCAATGAATCCAAGCTCTGCAAGCTAAATAGGAAACCTTCATTTTAATGAGGAAGTTGATCATCTGATCTGCAATTCTGCAATTATTCTACTCTATTCTATTCTGCTTAAGTATTTTATTGAAATATTCTCCTATGGCAGTGATGTCAGACTTGTGTATAGATGAGCCTGGCAATGTAGTGAGGAATTGTTACTTGAACAGAAAAACTAAGACGATATATAATCCAAATCTCTTTGAATCTGAGAGCTGTTTTATAAAGCTTCTCAAGCTGAAGATAGATAATCACATGAATCAGACTGATATACAATGCACATAGTTTTTATAAATCAGTCTTTTCTATCCTGGAACTTGGCTAGGGAGAATGGGAGGAATCGTCTAATCAAATGTATATGGGACTGACTATTATGAGATATTAGAAATAGAAGGTATAAATGTGTGTTTATTGAAAAATAGCAAGAATTTCTTCTGTGAGTAGATTAATAATTTATGTTTTTTTAAATATTTATCTTGGCAGTGTTTTAGATGACGAGAGCAGCAACCTGCGACAACAAAAGCTTGACAGACAGGTGAGTTTTTCAAATGTTGCTTGTGCTTTTTCATGTTGAAAAATAGAACTTACATAACTGGATTTGTCTATAAGAAAAATATATTTTATTTAAAAGTCTGTAGAGATTCTCAGTCATATAGGTCATGGTTGTCCCAAAGATGCTTTTTTCAGGATGCAACTGGACTTTCTTGTTTTTTCTTTTGAAGACGTTTTGCTTCTCATCCAAGAAGCTTTTTCAGTTCTGACAGGATAGTGGGGAATGGAAAGATTTGTATTCCTTGCAGACAGCTGGTCATTTGCATCCTTTTAGAGGGTTGTTGAAGCACTTAGAGGTTTATCTGTGTCCTCAGGGTCACTGACTGAGTAGTGTTCCTGGTTCCTGTAGTCTGCAATTTTTCCTCTGGAAACCCATTCCTACTCTCACACCATTCAAAGGGTGTTCATCCCAAATTGTATAGCTACAAGTCTGTTGAGATTCTCAGTCATCCAGATCATGGTTGTCCCAAAGCAAAACATCTTCAAAAGAAAAAACGGGAAAGTCCAGTTGCCTCCTAGAAAAAGCACCTTTGGGGCAACCATGACCTGGATGACTGAGAATGGGTAATGGAGTACAGTCCTATACAACACCTACTTCTGAGGTGCTTGTTCTTGTTTTTATTTGAAATATCTAGCTTTCAGTTGTTTTCTTTTAATACTTTTAATACAGGTATTAGCAAAATGTTTTGATAGCGTTACAATCAAACAGGATAACATTTGTTTCAGCACATCAACTAAGGTACATAGCAAACTTTATGTTTGCAGTTTCCATTCTGCTGTGGCATTTGAACTGAATTTTTGTCTCTTTGTATTCTTTACAGAGAGCACTGCTAGAACAGAAGCAGAAGAAGAAGCGTCAGGAACCAATGATGGTTCAGTCCAATGTAGATAGCCGCACAAGGACCCGTAGAATGAAACAATCTGAAGAACAAGCACCACTGGTTGAGTCTTACCTCAATAGTAACAGCAGCGCTATCTATCATGGTATATACCAATTTACTGTACAATGTTATGTGGACTGGCAAGATATGTTACACCAATAAATACCTCTGATAGTCAATTAGTTTTAGAAAAATAAGAGTAAATTTTGACTTAACACAAAGTTAATACTAGTTATATTGAACTTTAATTGATTTAAATATATATTACCCTGTTTCCCCTAAAATAAGACATCCCCTGATAATAAGCCCAATCGGGCTTTTTAAGTGCATGGCAATAAGGCCAAGCCTTATTTCAGGGTTCAAAAAAATATGACAGGGTCTTATTTTTGGAGAAACACGGTAGTTTTTTTTACTGCCATTGATTCTTTGTTGCACAAATAAAAGATACATGTTAAGCAGGGTGATGACAGCACTGAAGATGTTAGCAGTCTCAAAGGCCTATTCAAAGCCTCAGTCGAAGTGGTCTTTAAGTTGGCTTTATGAAACATTGAGGTGCTTGGTACTCATGGAAGGCCTTTGTCAATCTGCACAGGTCAGAGACAACCCCTTCAGGCAATTTTGGAAAAGCAACCATCTGAAAGTACCTTTCTTTGATGAGTGCTGCTGAGATGGCCCATCTTGCCACAGATCAAATCATTCCTTTGATCTAACTTGAGGCAGCTCCATGAAGCATTGCCGCTTCACACAGGCCTCATCATTTATATATGCAGTTCAGAATGAATTCATATAAATTCATACCCTGCTCAGCAAAGGGTAATTGGATTCTGTACTAATTTACTCAGCATAAATCATGTTTTATTTATGCAATCTGTCCATCTCATAGAGATTCTTTTCCCCCCTTCCCCTCAGATTGTCTCAGGGAACAAAGGCTGTTGCTTTTATTAATAAGCTGTAGCCTAGTCGAAAACAAACAAGCAGATCATTGAACAAATCAATTCAGAGTTCTCACTCGAGATATATATATTGACCAGGGTCGAATTATTTTACTTCAGATATATTATGCCAAGCTCTCTGGAGAATGCTGTAATGTTGGGAAAGACAGAAGAAAAGAGAGAGAAGACAACAACCTGTAACCTAATAGAAAGCAATAACCCAAAAATCCACTTGTTTTGTGGGTCTTTCCTTAATGCAAACAGTTTATAAATTTTGTAGGCTTCGAATATGCAGTATTTAGAAATAGCACTTAGACTTATATACTGCTTCATAGTGCTTTACAGCCCTCTCTAAGCAGTTTACAAAGTCAGCATATGGCCCCCAACAATCTGGCTCCTCATTTTACCCACCTCTGAAGGATGGAAGGCTGAGTCAACCTTGCTATTGATATTTACATAACATTCTGGGTGGAGTATTCTATATTTTGGCCACAGATGTTTATCATTTCTGTTTCAGCCATTTGAGACTTACTCCTTTATCAAGAAGTAAGCACAGGGAGAATCCCTACTGTAGCTTGCCTGAGGCTGAAAGCCATTTGGTTGGAAACTGGTAGGGATGACTACAGACTGATATTCCTAACAATTCCTCCAAGTAGATAGAGGCCTGCACCACCTGCTGTAGCATTCCTTGTATTTGGCAACTAAAGGAATTGTACCACATCTCAAAATTGTTCAAGGGTATTGAAGGAATTCTTGATTTTTTTTAACAAGAAAAATAATTTTTCTGATATCAAAATATGCTAAAATATATGTGGTGGAATGTAGTCCAGAATCACAGGAGGAAGGGGCTCTTGCCCAGGCAGCAGAAAAAATATCAGAGCTTGGAAACTTTTACGTATAGGAAAAGGCAAAGGCGATCCTTTCCCCCTAGACATTTACAGGGTATATCTAATAGTTACACAGTTAAGTACTTTAGTCTGGCAAGATTTCTGTCTATAGGCAAACAACAATAAACTACTCAGAAGTATCTCTAGGTGTCGTCCTTGGACCTAACAATATAACACTAATTGGAGCTGAAATGTAGCAATATGTGAGTTTATTGCTATTTATTTGGCAGTCCCATTAATTAGTCTTCAAGGCAGTCCTTCCATCGTTTCTATATTCTGGTTTAAAGCCGCCTCTTCAGAAGAAAGGCTTTTAAACTGTCAAATAATTAGCTCCCTTGGAGCTTGCCAAAATTCACTCGGAATATATCAGCAAAGCTAGATGCATAGAAGGTTTTTTTGTTACTCAAATTAAGGGGTATCTTTTTGTCGGCAAATATTGCATTGTGTGCCTTTAGTTTCACTAGTGATCAGCAGATGGGTATTTTTTGGTCATGGAAGAAAACTACTTTCAACGCTATTTGTTATATTGCATTGTACTGAGGGATTTCTAAATTAAGAAATGTCAGTTCAGAATGTCTTTGGCTTGTTACAAACTGGACCACAGGAACTCTCAAAAGCTATATCATTAGGCTAGAATTTTCTCTCTATTGACCTGCCAAAACCCACACTGAACTCAGTTTGGGGCTTGCTTCTGGTTAGGCATGTTATATAAGATTTCACTAGAAATGGCATTTTTATCTTGCAGAGTAAAATATTCACAATAATTATATTTATTTATTAATTAAGCAAGTTACTATGACCTGAATCACAGGAGACTGTAGGTAGCAAACAGATACTAATATTTAACTTGATCAAAGCACTTTTATTGTAAATCTCCTTTATTGTATATTATTGTATCTTTGCTATTATTGTATTGGCTACGAAGGCTGCCTCTTCAATTGCAGAATTGAATTGAAACTTCAATTCAGAGTTCACTGATAAATGTTTCAATATAGTAAAAGAAACCCCAGTAGTAACAAATAGTACAGAATATTATATTAATATATTAAAGCTAATATTAATATTAGAGCCAAGTTTTTACCTGCTTCTGGAAAGTTGTAGAAGTGAGGGCCATTCTCATCTAGAGGGTAGGATAATACACAATGGGTGATCCTTCAGCCAGCTTCCTTGGCTGGCTGGCTCTGAGCCAGTTTGGATGGGGCTTTCTTTTTGTGTGTGTTGGGAGAAACGATCCATGGGAAGCCATTGGATTACACAAAGGAAGCAACCTTCCAGCTGGCTCAAAGCCAACGTAAATTTTAAAGGGAAAGATGCTTCCCCTTCTTTGTCCAGCAAAGCTTTAGGTGGCTGTCCCACCTCCATCACAGAAATCAAGGAAATCTTATGTTCTTTTCCAAACAGTAGTGAATTTCTTTCTCTCCCTATATGGTTTGGAAAGGATCTGAGCACAGCACATGGGAGGAGCTGGTGGGCCAGAAGGAACTTTCCTGAGGACAGAAGTAGCCCATGGGTCGTAGTTTGGAAACCCCTGATCTAGCAGATGACAGAGTTGGGTTTTGCTACTTTAGTAACACCAATTCAGAGTGAAAGGGCACTTTAGATAAACAGAAGCTACAGATGCTTATACAAGAGTCATTTTGGTGAATTGGGCTATTTATATAGAAGTCTACATTCTGTTCCTACAATTGTTTCTGCCTTATTTCCACTTTTCTCTGTTGCAATAGCTGTGATTGCTATCTGTGAATAATATAGACTCTTTCCACCTTATCACAGACATTTGCGGTCTAATAGTGGCTCATTCTGTGATCAGGATGATAGACTTTTTAAAAATCCATTTTTGTCTTAAATTCTATTTCAACTTGTACAATGAATAGTTTTAAAGAGAAAATAGGGGAAATTTTGGATACACTAGTTTATTTTATATACTGTGTTTCCCTGAAAATAAGACCCTGTCTTATATTTTTTTGAACCCTGAAATAAGCGCTTGGCCTTATTGCCATGCGCTCAAAAGCCCAATTGGGCTTATTATCAGGGGATGTCTTATTTTGGGGAAAACAGAGTATTTAGGGATATGCAGGGTTTTGGTAAGATATGTGCTGAAACACTATTAGTTGGAGCAATACGGTACAGCACATATTTGGCAGCATTCAAATAGCTATGAAAAATCGGTTGAATCTTTGTCAAGATGAAGCACCCACAAGATGAAGCAGATCCCTAAATTTCTTTATTATTCATTGTTATGTTTATGTACTTAGTATTTGAGAGAGCCAGTGTGATATAATAGTTAAGTCGCTGAATTAGGAGTAGAGAGGCCAGATTCTAGTCTTCTTTAGGTTTAGAAGCCAGCTGCGTGGCCTTGGCCAGACATTCCCTCTCAGCCCTAATCCATGACAGACTCTGTGACAAGCCAGCTAATAAACAAAACCCATCATTGCATCAATATTGATGGCTTTGCTGTAGAAGTTAGAAGTTTGCTGTAGAAGAACAATGCAAGAATAGGTGGAGGACCCAAACATGCAGGAGAAATGCTAAGAAGGTCAGCAACATTGTACTCAACATGTTTCATCATGACATAATCATGGATGTTTGGTCATTCCCTTACCTCTTCCTCCCCACCCCAGTCCTGCAGATGCCTACTGTTTTGTTTTTTTTAATCACAAAGGGTGTAATTTTAAACATCCAAAAGGGAAGGTTTTGTGCTCTGCAAATGTTTTGAACTACGATCTCTTCTCTCTAAACCACAGCTAACATGATAATATTAATTGTAAGTATTCCCCGAGTCGTTTGCTCAGTGGCCAAAGTTACAACGGCTCTGAATGAGGGGGACTTATGACTGGCCTATGTAGTTGCAACTGTTGCAACATCCCTGTGGTAATGTGATTGCTCAGTGCCTGGCTACAATTATGTTTGTTGTGGCCCATCAGCGGCCTGTGCAGCTAGTAGCTGATTCCGACAGCGAGGAGGCTGGTGTGGTGCTGCGCCAGCAGCCTGTGCAGCTGGCACTCAAGTCAGACAATGAGGAGGCTGGAGAAGATGTGGTACCAGAGGTGGGGATTCAGCCAGGGCCTTCAGAACCTCCAGAAGCTCCCATAAGTGAAGAGGAAGAAGAGGAGGAGCCTCTTCTCGATGCATGGGCACGCAGAGCTGCCAAAAGGCAGGAGTGGTTCCTCAGGAGGAGGTCTCCTCGAGAGTAAGGCTTGGGGCTAATTGGCCACTCCCTTAGCCTATTTAAGGAAGGACGACAACTGAGGCAATTTGCAGGACACAACTTCGTTCACTCTCCTTCGCATCCTGATCTTAGTTCTCTTATCAGTTGCCTGCAAATGGCTTCTGGGCTTTCTGCCAACCATAGTAAGATTACGATTATTTATTCTTTGGATTCTTGTAGGCTGTTAAGAAAGTTAATTAACAGCCTTTATTTGAAAAAGACACATTTAATTTAGTAAACTAAGGTTTGTACAGACTATGTGTGTGCTGCGTTCTTTGGGGTCTGTAGCTGGGGCAGAACAATGTTGTAGCGAGCTGCAGTCAGATGATTATAAATTCTGTCATTCCCTGCCAGCTTCCCATAAGCAAAGTCAGTGGTCCCGCTGATCTTTTGCCCATCTGCACCACATAGCACCTACATCAGGGATGAAATCCAGCAGGTTCTAACAGGTTCTGAAGAACCGGTAGTGGAAATTTTGAGTAGTTCGGAGAACTGGCAAATACCACATCTGGCTGGTCCCAGAATGGGGTGGGAATGAAGATTTTGCAATATACTTCCCCCAGGAGTGGGGAGGAAATGGGGATTTTGCCGTATCCTTCCCCTGGAGTGGGATGGGAATGGAGATTTTGCAGTATCCTTCCTCTGGAGTGGGGTGGAAATGGAGATTTTGCAGTATCCTTCCCCTGCCACGCCCACCAAGCCACACCATGCTCACCAAGCCGCGCCCACAGAACCGGTAGTAAAAAAATTTGAATTTCACCACTGACCTACATGTGACACCCCAACCATTGTGATACTTGTCTGTGCTTTAGCTCCTGCCCATGGCACCTCCCGCAACATTCTGTGGCCAGTTTACCTGGGACTCCTATGTCTTCCCACTTAGAGACCGACTTAGTCTTGGGGTTACAAAGGGAACTGGGATTGCAGGATTGTTGTTGCTAATTGATACGGGGATATAACATCATGATTTATGACCATTTAGTGACATAAATTCTGGTCCCAAATGCCATTGTTACCTTTAGTTTGGGACACTTGGGACTGGACCACAATTTGGTTGGTCTTCTTTTTTGTATAGAATCATTAAGATCCATCTTGGATCATAAAAGGACACATGGATTGTTCACAGTCTTGCTGACATACATATGAAAACTTAAGGTCTAATAACCTTTGAAGTAATTCCTTCTCTTTAACACTAATTCCTCAAACTGATGCTCACAGTAATAGCTTCAGGCTAAATGCTAATTAAAGTCTCCAATTACTGATATAATAGGAAAACAAGGGGCAGTTGTAAAAAGTTGTGTTATGTCTTAAAATAAGCAGAGTAGCAAAACATGCAAATCAGTTTGCAGACTACATCCTTTAATGAATGTTTGATATTTGTTAGGATTCACCAGGTTCAATTTTGGGATACTGAGAAAGAAAGTACTTCCTATAATCTCCTATAACTTCAGTTTGAATGATCAGATGCTTGTTCAGTAAACCATGAGAGAATAGCTTCATGCACCCACTTCTTGCCCTTTAACCATTGTTAAATATAGTTTGGTAACTAATAATTACAAGGAACTATACTTAATGTTTTCGAAGTAAGCCAGTGTTAAAGTTAGCTACTAAATCCTAGCATATTAAGGTGCCATTATACAACATCCTTGGTTTTGATACAGTGAGAAGTTATAGCATAGTATAATTTATAATTTCTTCCTATTTTTTGTCATAGATTTTTGAAATACACACACACACACACACACACACACACACACACACACACACACTTCAAAAGAGGAGCCCTGACTATATTACGAAACTGGGAGATTTTAATTTATTTTACAGAAAACACTGCCAAAAAGTTTGGACCAATGGGGATATTGGCAGTTTATGGAACTGTGTTCTGGATATTCTCAGCAAATGGGAATAATTTGTCAGTTCACTAAATGACTATCATGGAATCATTTATGAAGAAAAAAAATCTAGTGATATAGCCCCATGCTATTTTTTCTTATTTATCAGAATATGGCCCTACATTCTCAGCTTATTTTATCTTTTTAACATATATATATATATATTTCAAATAAGCAGTGGTTTTCAGCCACATACCATTTTTAGTTTCTAAGGGTATGCCTGACACATAGGTGTTCCTTTGGGATCCTGTAAGAGTTGTTGGGTTTCAGCTTTCCATGTTTTCTTCAGTGTGATTGCCAGAATTATTCCTTGCAGTGCATGGTGGGAAATTCTGGCTCTCCCATCATCCCAGAAAATATGGTTTCCTTCATGAAGGAGAAGATAGCAAACAGCACTGGAGGACCTTGAGAAGGACATCAAACCCACACCTTACATTATCCAATGAGCCCAGAAAAACAGGAGGTTTGACTTCAGTCCATAGACCATACCTTGTCTAGCAAATAAGAACCAACCATAAAGGATTCCATTAAAAATTACTCCATCCTTTTGTCTTATTCTGGTTTATTCTGTATTTTTCTCTTTCCATTTAATTACTTGAGGAAATGATTTTACAATATACTTAACTTGCTTCTCTGTGGCTTCATACACTGGTAACTTCCCTTCCCTTTCTTTTCTTCCTTTCTTAAAATTTCCTTCTTCTTTTTCTTTACCTGTCTCTTTGGGTCACCCCAAATATCTCAAGCAGTACAAGAGACTGAGCAAGAAGATGTCAAGGTGGCAGCAGACCCACAGGCTCTGAAGTCAACTAAAAAACCCAAAGCAGCCACAGGAGGCTGTCAAACAAGCAGCACTAGGAAGGAGAAGAAAGGAAAACAAAAAGGTAAGCTGCATGCCAGTCATGATTGAATAAGAACAAGACATACCATTTAAAAGGGAACAGTACAGTCCTCGACTTGCAACAGTTCATTTAGTGACCGAAGTTACAACAGCTCTGAAAAAAAGTGGCTGATGACCATTTTTCACACTTACGACTGTTGCAGCATCTCCATGGTCACATGATCAAAATTAAGACACTTGTCAACTGATTGATATTTATGACAGTTGCAGTGTCTCTGAGTCATGTGATCACCTTTTGCGACCTTCTGACAAGCAAAGTCAATGGGGAAGCCAGATTCACTTAACAACGATGTTACTAACTTAACAACTGCACTAATTCACTTAACAACTGTGACAAGAAAGGTTGTAAAATGGAACAAAGCTCACTTAACAAATGTCTCACTTAGCAACAGAAATATTGGGCTCCATTGTGGTTGTAAGTCGAGGGCTACCTGCATTTAATGTGACTGATTAGTTTAAGCTACACATCCTTCAAGAACATTTAGTAGATGGAGCTTATGTTATCTACTGAAGTCATCTGTGCTTTGATTGGTGATGATGTGATTTATCTATCTCCTTTTGTATGTCTTCAAACACATTACAAGATTTTGGGAACACGAAGCATAGAATAGAATAGAATAATACTCTAATAATGATAGAAAGGTCACAATAATGCAGATTAATAAAATTCTCCGCCTTCCTAAAGTTAGCTTAACCCCTGCTCCCTAAATCTAAATGAGGAAAACTTGTAATCTTTTGAAAGGATGCTCATACTAGTTTCCACTAAGTTACTTAAAGTGGATAATCATGTGTAGGGCTTGCTGAACCCAACCCACACTTCTGCCAAATTATTATTTTTGCAAAAGGATGTTCAATGTCTGTTGCACTAGGCGGTGGTGGTAGTGACGATGGTCAAAGTAGTTGCACTTATGTATGTGAGATGGTCCAGTTTCTCTTGTAAAAGCCTTTAAATTGCATTTATCCTCATAACAACTGTTTATCTAGACCCGTGATAATGAACCACAGGGGGCGGGGCGCATGCAGGGGGACCTGCACGCATGCGTGGGGGGCGTGCGGGGAGCATGGTGCAAATGGGGGTAGGGCACGTGCGGGGGGGCGTGCACATGTACAGGGTGTATGCAGGGGCATGCACGCATGCATGGGGAGCGGGGCACATGCACGGGGCAGGGCACACATGCATAGGGCCGCATGCACATTGCATTTGGGGGTTCAGGCACACGTGCATGCATTTGGGCGTGCACACTTTGGGCACTTGGTCCGGAAAAGGTTAGCCATCACTGATATAGACATTCCCCTCCTGAAGTGCTTCTTGGTAAATCCTCTGTATTCACACAATATACAATGCTTGTGGATGAGAAGCCTTTACGCCACAATGAGCGCGCAGGAGACTTTTACTGTTTTTAGAAACAGAAATTGAATACTTCTCAGCCATCAAGATAACTGCTATACTCCTGTCTCCTAATTCAATATTTATCAGCTTTGTTTTAACTAGCATTTTGGTTCTTGTTTCATTTTATATCAATCCTGCTTGAAGTAGGGGAGAAAAGAGCAAGGTTCAGTATTAGGTTTATACATATGTTTCTTATTGCATATGCAACGCTCCATAAAGCCCTTTGCAAATGACACATGGTTGTTTTTTTAAAAAATAGTTTGTTTTCATGCTGGAATGTCATAAAGACCTCTGTTTAGTGATAAGAACTGCTTTGGATTTGGACATAATATCTCAAGAAGCTTGCTAGCTGTTTTGATATTTATTCATAAGGGAGTCTACTGTAAGAGTCTACTGTATTTGTATAAATATGAAACTCAGCAAAAAGTCTCTTTTCTGAAAGTAGTAGGATACTAAGATAATCTGTATCTTACAATCTCTTTGGACTGTTGCCTTCTGGCAGAAGATACAGAACAATTAAAACTCGGATCACATGTTTTCTGAATAGTTTTTATCCCAGAGCTATAATTGCACTCAACAATGAACTAAAGGGCCACCATTAGTGAGCTGTTGGACAATATTACTTGGTCTGTTGTGTGAATGTTTGGGTGGTTTAGGGGTGGGGAATTCGGCTGGGTGGGAGTGTGTTTGGGGATTGTTATATGTGTTGGACCTGGTCTTTGGATGTTAAGTGAATTTTGTTGTATGGGTATACTGTGCATACACGTACAATGACAATACAATTATTATTATTATTATTATTATTAATAGAATGGTTGATTTCAGAAGATACTGTTTCCCCATTATCATTCCTGGGGCTACTTCACTTATAGTCTAACACATTTGTGACTAAATTGGTGAAGATTGTTGTGGACTATGTTCTTGCTTGGATTTAGATATCTAGTTTAGTGGGATTATTCTAATATATATGAGAATTTAAATTACATCTGAAATATTGAGACACAAAAGATTTCATTGTTTAGTATATAGTCTTGTCTTGGTTCCATAATCACAGCTAGATCAGCCCTAGTTTTTCTAAGGCTGATTAGATTTGACCTAATTTTTCAAATTAGGTGAAATATGTTTAATGAAATATGTCTTTGCATAATTGTTTTTACTTTAACAGATGGTACACAGAGGTCTCCAAGCTGCTTCAGAACCATGGCGTATGTGTGCGTGTTAAATTATTTGTTTTTTTTAATAATAATTTTATAAAAGATTATAATTGAAAAAATACAAACTAACAAAAAAAGAAAAGAAAAAATAGAAAGCGCAGAAAATGAATAGAAAGAAAAATAGAAAAGAAATATATACAGAGGTAACTTCCCCTTTCATCACAGGTATAAACAATTTTAGTAATTTATATTTTCTCTTAAAATAGAACAAATGATCTCCTCTTCTCATATTTCAACTTGTAATCATAAATGAAATCCTAAAACCTCATCATTAATTCCTGAACAGAAAAAGTCTATTAAAGGTTACCAGAGACAGCTCCAAATCTATTTTAACCTTGATCAAATAATGGAAGTTTATATTCCTTCCTTACATTTTCAACAATTCTGGTTTTTAATTCTTCCAAATAATGTCCTAGAATTTGATATGGTTTTATTTTTTTCTTTGTCCCTTCTCAGAAAATCCTTTCAAATTTTAACAGGTCTCTTTTACTCTAATTCCAGTATAGAAAGATTATTCAAATCACTATTCTGGCTTGTTATTTGTACGTATATTTTAATAATTAAAACATCAATTGGTTTCATTTGTCTATATAGTATATCATCTTTTCCCATATCATTCTTGTATTTTGTCATGTTTAAATCCATATTCACACCCATTTCAGTTTTATCTGGCAGAGTTTGTTCCTCTTCTGTAATGTCATTTATACAATGAGTCCACTGTTCACATATATCCTTCAAAATGTCCAATGTTAAAGTATTTTGTTCCATTCTGTGTTAATGAGTCAACTTTACCAATAAAGAGAAGTGTCAACTTGAAGTATTCTTCTCCTCTAATTGTAATCTTTAGTTTCATCTAGTTCCCTCTGGTGTCCAACCTTCAAAGTGCCATCCTCTCATTTTCCCCCCCCCCCTAAAGAATTCTAATAACAGCAATTTTCCAAAGGATGGACTCTTATAATTAATTTTAGAGACTTATTTCAAATCCAAATCCATCTGGATCCTTAGTTCATTTTTAACTTTCCAGAAACAACATTTTAAACAACCTTTTGCTGTTTATTCCTAAAACTTTTTTTTTTTCAAATCCTTAAATCATATTTAAAACTTATTTTGCTAAGAAGGAGGAGACTCACACAGTGATTGCAATAAAAACTTACCATTTCAAAAGTTCTTAATATTTGAAAAACAGTAAAAAAATAATTCCAAAAGGGATTAAGAAACAAGGCACGGTCAAGCTTTATGAATACATATAGGCTGCATTACAACTGTGAGCTTAGCTGGAATCCTCCAACTTCCAGCTGCTTGATTCATAAGCTGACTGCAGAAAGTTCCGGTAGGCTGTTTATGAGAAGCAGCTGCCTGGAGTACATGTGGGCAATCTTATGATCTCTCCTTTCTCTAGAGAGATCCAGCATCCGGCCATCAATCTCATCATAAAGGCTGTCCCCATTCTTTCATCTAGTGCTCCATGCCCTCACCAGAAGTCTGTGTGTATTAAATTATTTGGACATACTACTTTCCATATTGGAATTAATTCATTCTCACACTTCTGCTATTCCAAATAATCTGGGCTGAGAAGAATACATTTTTTTTTCAGGGATGATGGAATAGGGGTGATGGTGACTGATAAAACACAGATTATGATTTTGATTCTGTTGTACAAATGCAAACCATGTGGCAAATATCATCCCTGGTTTTGGCAAGATTCTCACATTGCTGCTATGTTATCTGTACTAACTCAACTCATCCTCTGGTTTTATTATTTTGGACAAGAGGTTGCTGAATTTAATGTATTTGTTTCTGAAGATGCATGCAGATTTGCAAAATGCTACCTTCAGTGGTATGTCCTAAAATAGGTATATAGGTAACATACCTTCTTGTCCAAAGTGTTCTGATTAATTTTTAAGTTATGCAGAGAAATAACATTATACAATGCTTGGCTAACAAACATTCATTTGATTTCTGACTTTGTAAAGGCTATTCATTTTAGCTGAAGTGCTGGTGTATTTTCTAATCCTATATTCAATAGACTGTACAAAATGTTCATTGAATGATTTTCTGAATCTCATTCATGAAAGACCCTCTTATAAATTTATTGAGACAGAGCCAAATACTGCAGGTGTTCTTCTACAATGTAACTTTTTCTTTTACTGTAGTTACAGATCTGGCCAAATATGCCTATAGTCTATTAAATTCAAAACCAGTTGATTTTTCTTTTTTAAAAATGAGCTACATATCTGCCCTTATTAGAATTTAATGGGATATTTAATTTTCAAATTGTGTATTCAAAAGCTAATTTTTGATATCTAGTTTGCATTAAAAAAGGCAGAATTCTGCTTAAAAATGAAATTGGGTAAAAAGCCTGAAATGAAGGCTGTTAATAATAACTTAGTTTAAATGTATGTTTGTATAGTACTAGTGTATCAATATATAATAATGTATAACAGTAATATATGTAACACCATGTATCCTAGCGCCTAATGTTTTGGGCTTGAAATCAGGAGCCTGAGTTCTAGGCCTACCTTAAGCATGAATGCTACCTAGGTGATTTTGGGCCAGTCACTCATTCTCAGCCCATCATCCACAGGATTGGTATTTTGGGGAAAATAGGAGAAGGAAGCAATATTAGGTGTGTATGCCATCTTGAGTTACCCAATAATAAAGGAGGGATGAAATAGCTAATATTTATGTTTCTAAAATACGGTAAGATTAAGAATTGTATTCATTGAAGTGCATTTGCTGGGAGGACAGGCCCTTGTTGGTAGCATAGATGCTCCCTGACCCCTCCAAATCTTCCAGAGCTATGAGGACAATCCAGGTTCAATGGAAAGGAAAAAGGTACTAAAGAGAAAGAAAAAAGGGGAAAGTCCTTTTATATGTTTGGATGTTGAAGGGTGCAAATTCAGCTGTCACATAGAAATAATATGTCTTCTATTTGTACACGGTATTTGAACTTGGAGAACTTGGTCTGGGCAGGCAATGGAGTATGATAGTTGTAGGTTGAAGGAATGAATTTTTTGCTGAGATTCCACTATTGGTAGTGGTGATGGGGTTAAATACAGGTAGTCCTTGACTTCCAACCTTTCATTTAGTGACTATTCGAAGTTACAATGGCATTGAAAAAGCGACTTAAGACCATTTTTCATACATACAACTGTTGCAGCATCCCGATGGCCATGTGATCAAAATTTGATTACATGATCAAAATTCAATTGTTTAATATTTATGACAGTTGCAGTGTCCTGGGATTATGTGATCGATCACCTTTTGTGACCTCCTGATAAGCAAAGTCAATAGGGAAGCCAGATTCATTTAAAAACCGTGTTACTAACTTGACAACTGGACTGATTCGCTTAAAGACTGTGGCAAGCAAAGTTGTAAAATGGAGCAAAACTCACTTAACAAATGTCTTGCTTAGCAACATTTTGGGCTCAATTGTGTTCACAGGTCATAAATGTTTCAAATTCTCAGAAAATAAGTACTGCAGGCAAAGACATGATATGTGTAGAGAAAGCACTGTCTTATGCACATAAGTGGATATTTGTGTCTGTGAGCCGCATGCAAAGAATTTCTTGCTGAAAATAATTTATATCAGATCAATTATATGGAAGTTTTCTTCCAAATAAAAAGTATTATTTTTAAAAAGCTGAGGAGAAAATTTGCAAACAGTTTATGCTACACAGCAATAGTCAAAGTAAGCCTTAAAATGTGGGAATGAGTATAAGGAATAATTTGGAGATCTGTAGGCATTGACTTGCAATCACAGGCTAATCCTATCTATTGTAGAAACCTATTTTGTTAGGAAACCTATACACCAACATTTGAGAATTTCCTGCATCATTTAAGTAGTGCTTCAAAAAGCGCTACTGTATAAAAATAAACAGCACTACTGTATAAAAATAAACAAGGTACATGATAGCAATGTTCTATTATCTAAGGGGCTGCCACAAAGAAGAGGGGATCAACTTATTCTCCAAAGCACCTAAAGGCAGGACAAGAAGCAATGGATGGAAACCAGGGTGGATAAAAATCAATGATTTTTTTAAAAAAATCAAAAAATTCAGATTTTTTTGATTTAAATAGGATTTTTTTGATTTTTATCGAATTTATTTTAATAAAAAACTTTTGGGGTAAAAATCTATTGTAAGATAGTTTTCTATTTAAGATACATAAATAATTTAGTTTATTCAGCATGAAATGGAGCTTAGTTATGTAGCATGAGGCTGTATATTCTGCAGCACTGGGATTATCGGTGAGTCAACAGTGGGTCAAAGGAGTAGCAGAGATGACAGTTGCTCTTTAAAAATTATGATTTAAATCGAGTTTTTAAATCAAATCCACCCTGATGGAAACTAATCAAGGAGACAACCAACCTAGAACTAAGGAGAAGTTAGAACAATTAATCAGTGGAATTACTTGCCTCCAGAAGTTGTGGGTGGTGCAGCACTGGAGATTTTTATGAAGAAACTGGACAGCCATTGTCTGGAATGGTATAGGGTTTCCCGCCTGAATAGGAAGTTGGACCAGAAGACCTCCAAGGTCCCTTCCGACTCTGTTGTTCTGCTCTGTTTTGTTAAGTTACAATAAATCCATCCATTAAGAGGTGCTGGTTTTGGCAGAATGCAATGGAAATTCAATAGATGATACACCAGAAAATACCTCCTCTTTGCACAATCCTCAGTTATCTAAAATCATGTTCTCGTAGAAATCATGTCATTGAAAATACTATGCTCCTGTTGGCTGTCTACAATTTTAAAATATGGGACACTTGAAAATCAAGAGATATGAATTAGATCAAAGACTTGCTGATGAAGTGACTTTCTGGTACACAAACATAAATGTTATTTTAAAAAGAGAGACAAGGCAGCTTTTTTTTTTTTACTGCTATTTTCTGATCATTCTTATTTTAAAGAAATCCAGCCTTTCCTTCAAAGAGTTACAGAGCCAGCTTTCAGTAGGGCTGGAGGTTTTTTTAGTCGTGCTTTAGAATTCTAATGTGCAGATGTCACCATGGTGGAGACACTAGGCTTTTGAGTATATTAAATATTCCAAGGGAAAGAGCAGCAGCCGGCTCTACATCCGGTGAAACTAGTTTGTTTATTCTGCAGTGATGTATGCAGTAGGGCTGAACCAAAACTGCTTACACAAGTTCACTTTTGTTTTAATTGGAAGCAGATCCTAAACTAAAGAAATACAAGTGCGCATGTGGTAGAATTTCACGATGCAGTTTTAATAACAAATTAGTTTTACAGTATTTATTCTGTTTCTAACAATAGTTATAGCACCTCCAATAACCTATTTTTGTGTTTTTAATAGTTCTGCTTTTTTCTGGACTTTTCTTTTCCTTGCAGCTTAACATTTATGAAATTGAATTGTTGGTCTCTTCTGCTCTTCATATCATTTAGAGCCCCGGCCGTTTTTCAAGTTGTTGTACTATAGATAAAATAATACAGTAGGACCTTGGAGACACAGATTCAAGGCCACCCTCAGATTGAAGCTCTGAGGTGATTTTAGGCAAAACAATCTTTTTTAGTCCAGTTTAGCTTGCACAGCAGTTATGAGGATTTTTAAAAAAAATCCACATAACTATATGTACCACATTCCTGAAGGAAAAGTAGAATAAAAATCTTAACTAACAAATAATTCTGAAACTTCTAAATAAATGAAATTAGTCTGGATCTTTGTTGCCATTTAGTGCTTATCTGGATAATTGCCACCTTATAAAAGAACCTTGTTTGCTTCTGTTTGTCCAGTAACTGGACTCCAGTAGGCATATGCTATCTTTTATAGGCATAGCCTTTCAAAACAAAACAAAACAAAAACAAACACCTCTTTTTGTTTCTGTTTTGTTCCAAAAATAGTCACTTATTTTCTTATTTCTAGCATTAGTTGTAACCCTCAGTTTATTTTGCTCAATTTTATCATCTTATTAATACAATTTTCTGCTTGTTTCTTGTTACAGTACCTTCAGTAACTCTTATTTCCTGTCAAATTGAATTTATATTACTTTGAAAGGCTTATGCTTACATATGTTAAAAATACGGGATGGGCTTTCAACAAGTTGTAGTTGTGGCTATTGTAGCATCTGTGGTTGTGGTCATGTGATGATGATTTTGGTACAATTACAATGGTTACAGTTTCAGATTTTGTCATTAACTTCCAGAAAAGCAACCTCATGAAAACTTTGTAAAAGCATTCTAGTTTTGTGAGAATTTAAGTGTTGATACCAATTAATGGTAGATGCCAGTTAATGGTTGAACAAATCTAAAAGAGTGTATACACAATCTGGCACTTTAAATTTTTATTGTGCAATTTATATGAGAATGAATTTAGTCCCCTAGTAAAAAACAATAATGTAGATGAAGCAAATTAAAATTAGGGAATTAGATAACATTTATCCATTTTTAGTACATTTTTGCAGGAAAAATAGTTAGCATACTAAAATTAAAAAACCATGATCAGTTATACATTACAGTTTGAATGAGAAGTGTATAAGTTGTTTTACAAAAGATTCAAAATATTGTATTAATTATTTCAAGTATACTTCCCTCTTTCCAAATTATAAAAATATATACGGACAGCAATTATTTTACTGTTTATACTTCTAATCAGTTCAATAATCAAACTTACTGAGTGGGTTACAGATTTCCTTTAAAAGCTATTTTCAAATATAATTGAAGAAAGATGTGACTTCTTAGATACCCTGTTGTTAATATATATATATTTCAGCCAGAGTTTTTGAAAGACCTTAAAAAGGTTTTTGTTTGGGAATTTAGAAGATTCTGAGCTGTGATCTTAGCCAGGATTTTAAACATTTTAACTAACAAACTTATAATGACGCGGGAAAACACACACATACACTTTATACTATATACTTTATACTTTATATGACATATACTTTATATGACATTGGTGCAATTCTTGGTTGGTAGGCATTGATGGTCCAGCTGCTTTTCAAGATGAAGTACAGATAGCAGGGAGCCAAGTTCAAATTCTTACTGTTGGGGAATCTTGCCATGATGAGGATAATGGAGAGGTGTTAGCTACCAGCCAACAAGGCAAACAAGACCTTAGAGTAACAATGCAGAAAAAAGGTAAGAAATCACTGAAATATTCAAATATTTTAGGGTTTTTCATCATGGTGTTTGCAAGATATGAAGAGGGAAGAGCAAAGTAGACCTTTACTTTTTTATGTCATCATCATCATCATCATCAACACACACACACACACACACACACACAAAATTGGGCCATTATGCATTCTTATAGAATTGTCAGATAACAAAAAAGATTGCAATTCATATACTTTGTGGGTGTTACTTAGGGCTAGTAAATTATGATGTCTACAAAGACATCATAATTTGTCTAAAGTTTAATTATATGCTTACCTGTCCTCCATACAAAAAATGCTAATGGTTTGTATTGTATTATAGGATGATCAAATGCATCAAATATGAAAATTTAGTTTGAATCCAGGGATATGCTACTAGCACTAAGCACAATTCATAAAATACAACAGTTAGTCATGCTTGGCAGCCAATTAGCTCCTCTCCAACTGATATTTGAAATATGTCTTATTCCTCCAGTGTCAGTGCCTCTGCACCAGTGGTGGGTTTTACTTATTTTTGCTACCGGTTCGCTCACGCATGCACCACTTCTGCACATGCGCAGAGCATATTTGATGACTTCCGGGCGGGTGGGCGGAGCCTCCCACCGCCACTACGACCGGTTCTCCTGAACCGGTGCGAACCAGAAGCAATCCACCACTGCTCTGCACACACCATTTAATAAGCAACAGAAGGAAATTAGAAAACTATCTGGCAGATATTTTGTATGCCCTTAGAGTTGTTTGATCTTGGATTGAATTTATCTGCTTAAAATGTTTGGTGGTAACACCAGAATTTGCCATTAACTAATCTATGTTATTTCTCCATGAAGCTTCTAGGAACTCTTGTTGTAAATTAGATAAATGTAGATAAATTAAGTAGGTAGGAAATATGGATTAGACAGAAATGCACCAAATATTTCATTTAATATTCTTTCCAAAACATATCAGTAGCAGCATTAATGATTAGGAAAGATAGATTTCATTTTTTTTTCAATGAATCAAGTTGAAAGAACAAATAACATTTTGTTACATTTTACCAAAGTCCCACTTAGTCAATGCTGTTAATATTATTGTAAGAATATGAATGTGAGCAAACATTAGTAGATCTTACAAGGTCTTTAAAGCATTATTGATAGATAACTGCTACACTTCACTAATAAGAAGCATAAATAGGTACAATCAAAGGTATGCTTTTTCTAGCACTTCAAAACTGATGGAAATGAGAGGCTCTGATATAGTAAATAAAATGCATGTTCTGAGAGCAAGCAGTTTGATTATGCAGTAGTTATATGGTCTTTAAATATAATGACTATATCTTAGGCATTTCAAGTAGCATGAATTTTGATGAAGAGGAGGATGAGGAGGATGAAGATAGCTCAAGTTCCTCACAGTTAAATAGTAATACCCGACCAGGGTCTGCAACAAGCAAGAAATCAAATAAGGTGAGTGATCTGATGTGGTGGACTTAAAAATACCTCAGAATTACCTAAACCAGACATTTAAAGTAACGTAGACTTATCTTGTCTGTATGGATTCTTCATAACAGTTCTCCGCATCAAAAGATTTAATGTCTGTCGTGAGCTCCTTGCTAAAGTATAGAACCATTTCTTATTTTATTTACTCTTTTCACTTTTTGGATGCAACTGTAGCACCACATCTATCATGTGATATTCTCTGATTGTGAAGATGGAACACGAATTTGCTTCCACACACATTCTTTGCAATTTATTCTATTAATTCTTTCATGTATACAAAGCTGAACAAAGTTGTTTATAAAAGGGTAAAAATTTCACAACAGAATCTGATAGCATTCTGTGAATGGTGGATGATTGGCGGAACTGGCACTGCCAATGAAGATACTATTAAAAAAAATGTAGCATATAAAATAGAAAGTTTTAGCATTGAAACTTAAATATAGAAGAGGCTCCATGACTACCTTCTAAAGTTTAGAAAGTAAGTGTAGCCACTCCCTTTTACTCTCACTGCAGTGTGAAGCTAATGTTGGTTATAGTATTGATCTGTTGCCTACAAAAATCCTAAATTTACTCCCAACAAGATCCATGGTTTTTAATAACTAGTTTGGAAAATAGCAAAACAGTGGTGAGATGGGAAGTATTTAAATATAATGAACATATTAATTATAAATAAATACTGGTGATGAAATGTTTTACCAAATATCATATTTTATTTTATATATAAATAACTAGACATGAATAACAGTTAAGGGAGAATTTAAATATCATTAATTTTCAAATTACCAAATTAGATTGATCTTATTATACTGTTAACTATTTTTTTTTTACAAATATTCCTTTTCTTGAGGTTTGTTTTGAGTCCATTAAGCTGCTACCAGTTAAATGGTGATATGCTAGGCTGCAGGCCTAAGACCAACTAAAACCTATTAAAATTCTTCTGAGGTGGTTATCATCCTTAAATCTTCCAGCAAGACTTTGTAAATTTTCAAATGGTGTTCTTTGCTCCAGCAAAGATTTGAGTGAAGCATTTCCTGGAAACATCATTTGCAAAACAATGCCCCTCTCTTGATTCCAGGATCAAAGAGAAGCAGGCTGCTCTTGTGCTGCTTTACTGCATTTCATTTGTGCACTGCATAACCTCATGTGATGTTTACAATACCTGAAGAGGCTAGATAAGAGACAATCAGTAGGCTGAAAAGCAACACAAGGTGCTTCTTCAAGGCACATTCAGTACATCTTTTCAGATCACATCCAGTTTTGTTCCATTGCATTACATTCTCCTATGTCTTCTTTTGTGTGGAAAGTGAGCTGTCCGGAATGTATGTATGTTCTGGGTTTCTTATGTTACCTCTATAGTACCAAATTTCCATTGAGATTTATCTCTACATTAATGGCTGTTTTTGTAGATTTAAAGTGAGGCAACTTTTCTTACTCTTCTAGGAAACAGCATCAGGGCCCAGCCCTTCAACCAATAACCCTGTAATAGATGTGGATGATTTGGAGGAGTTTGCTGTGAGACCTGCTCCTCAGGGAGTTACTGTCAAATGCCGAATCACAAGAGACAAGAAGGGAATGGACCGTGGAATGTACCCTACCTATTACCTCCATCTAGAAAGGGAGGATGGTAAAAAGGTCATAAAGCATATTTTCTTGGCTGTCAAAAAAGTAACAGTATAGAAAGCACACAGAACCTAGAAACCTGCATAATTATAAGTGTTTTTAAATGGGAGGGGGAGGTTGTATCCCTATCACAAGTATTTATAATGATGGGAAAATATAGATGAAAATGCAGCATGTCCCGAAAAGCAAGAAAGAATATCTGAGGGAAAAAAAACCTATGTGGACACACTTTAGGCTACAATCTTTTTTGTTGTAAGTCCCATTAAATTAAGTCGAAATTGTTTATGAGAAGATTTCGCTGCAGAACTGGAATATGAACCTCCTCTGTGTCATACATTCTTCATGATTACAGTGTAAGTACTGAATTGTTTATCACATATCAGCCATTCAATTACTGAACTTCCACAACACTCAGTCTCAACAATAAGAACTTCCCTGCTAGTTTGGGCAAAGTCTGTCTTAGACCAGCATTTTGCTTCTTGCAATAACCAATCAGATGTTTCTGGAGTATTCACATGCCCTTCCCCCCACCCCACCCCCACCCCGTTGTTGTCCTCAGCTGATTGGCAGGCTGCTCCTGACATACAGCTAATATTGAACTTCATAAGTGATAACCTCTGAAAGTCCTGTCTTCCATGAATTTATCCAGCCCCTATGACAAACTCTTTAGGAAAAGGAGATACAGTTGGAAACTCACAAGAGCAGACAAGAATAGGGGAGTTTTCTATGGCTCTTTAGTAAGGAGAGGAACAAGTTAACTTCAAATGCTGGACAGAGGAGCAGGGATGAAGAGTGAAGAGGGAGCAGTGATAGTGATTTGCCAGGCAGATGCTATGCTTGTAATTTTAGCAGAAGAATATGCTAATTACCTACATGTAATGGAAGAAATGACCCCAGGAGGCTTGAACAGGAGAATGTTCAGCCATGACAAATGTAAGCCTACGCGCATCTGGGTCAGAAAAGTAAAATATGGACATATAAGGTTGGGGAACCTGGCTTAGTAGCAGACATGAGAAAAGGATCTGGAAATAGTATCATTTGTACAAGAGTAAGCAGCTGCTAAGAAAGGCAATGCAATCTTGGATAGCATTTGTAGAATCATTGCATCCAGATCATGGAAGATACTAGTGTGTTGTTTGGACTGCATTTCAAATTTTGTGTCCATTTCTAAGTTGGAATGAGTTCAGATAAATGCTACTAGAATGACAAAAGGTCAGAAATTCAAGGGGGGGGGATTAAAGAAGCTGAAGATGTTTAATGTGTAAAAGTAAAAGGCTAAGGAGAGATAATGACACTAACAATTTAGAAATATCTAAAAGGCCTTTATATAGAAGAATGTGAACTTTTTGGATTCTAAGAGCAGAAAAAGGACCAACTAATTGAGAGAAAGTAAATTGAAGCTGAATATCAAAAAGAATTTCATGATAATAAGCTACTAAACAGCAGAAGAGTCTGCTAGAGTAGTGGTAGACTCCCTTCTGCTAGAAGTTTTCAAATGGTTTAGTTAAATAGCCACCTGTCTAAGATAATTGAGTAAATCACTACAATAGACAAAACTAGAGTAAGAGCAAAAGAAGGAACACACTTTCATTTTTTTCCTGCTACCTTGCCAAAAAACCAGGCACCTTAACTCCAAGGCTCAGTAATTAATTTGAAGAGGCCTAAGCTTTACCTGGCCTCCACCTTGCCAGTTTGCATTCTAGCTAGAAGAGCTACAAACCACACAACAGGAATATCTTTTTTAAAAAATAGAGTTTCTTAGAAAATATAAGCAAAGATATGAACATAGATGGATATTTGGCTAAAAGAAAAGAAGTAGCAAAAGAGGAAAAATGATCAGAAGGTAACAGGTAGCATCTAACTAGGCGTCAGAAAAAAGATAAATTTTGAAGGAAATCAGGTGCTTGCCTTGGCATGAACAAATAAAATAAAATTCTGACACCATGGTATTTACTTACTATACTTATTTAATATTCCTAAAGGTCTATGTGTGTTAGAGTTCCTATTTCCTGACAAATTTCATCACAACATGGAGGGGATCTGTAGTCTATTCTTTCTTTCTTCAACAAGCAAATCCGGCTTCATAATGTACCTTGTAAAGTACTCATTTGCTATTTAATTTCAAGGAGGGGGAAATTATTCTTGTTCAGAGGTTTGATTAACCAACTTCCCTTTTTCTTGCCCTTTAGAGTTAGATGGAATTGGTCTATAGGTGTAATGGTCTGTGAGAATGCCTTTGGGAGACAGGAGGAAAAGCCAATTTGACAATTGTCAAAAAAGAGGCAGCTCAGACCACAGAAGGAATGGAGTAAAAGCGTTAGAAGAGACCCTTCCTAGTTTATGGGACTGTAAAGGCAGCAGGGGGTGGTGGGAGAGATACATTTTCAAACCTGTAAGATTCTGTTAATGTAGCGTTACAAGTGGGAGTAAGTATTTCTGGATAGGCCTTTTGGACTATCTTGCAAGGCTGGCAATAGGGTATGTTATGCTTGAATGGTATTGAGTGTATTTACCCATTACCATTTGAGCATTATTTCTAGATACTCTGAAACTGGTAATGCGTCATCTAACCAATTTGCATCGAAATTTCATGTTATGACAACTCCTTGAGCAATAAACAGTACACCAAGTTATATTCAGAGGCAATAGCAGCATTTCTGTTGGGATATTTATTTTTTTGTGTCTATCCCAACAGGGACTGAACTTGGAACTTTCTGCATGCAAAGCAGAAAGCACCTCTTTCTTCTTTTAGTGTGTTTTGATATGCAGGCTGAAACTCTATTGTGAATTGGTACATTGCAATCCATCCAGATGAGTCCAGCATAAAGCTGAAAACATTTTTTTAAAAAAAATCTAAATGTTGTGTCATGCTTTGCAGCTGATAGGTAGATTAATGAAGGCTGACTCCACAGTACTGTATTTGCCCAACTGGAAGGTAAGTCCACCCCCCTCTGGCAAATAATTACCTATGAATTGATAGGTGAGTGGGGGGGTCATCTTACATTCCATGAGAAGAAAATATAGATGTAGATTCAGCGCTGCAAATGCTTTGGAAGATAAGTTTGAAAATTACTCCTTGTTGCTTGCCTGGTGAATTTCACTCTGTTTATGCTGTCTAGATATAATGTCAAGTGGTTGATAAGTTGGAACTCATTGGGGAAAAAAAGTAAATGAGAATAAACAATGCTTTAAATACACTGTTTAAAGTCTACTTTGTTCTTAGATAATTCCATGTTTGGATTCTTCAAATTATTTATAGCGGGATTCTGCATTCTGATCTGAACTGGAAAATGTTTTCCTTTCATTAAAAGGAGACTATTTAAGCAGAATGTAAATCTTTAACAAAATGTTCTAGGTTAATTATTTAAACCATCTATAATGGATCCAAGAGAGTAAAATTCTCTACTGATTTTTTCAACCCATCTCTGCTAATTCTCATTTTCTTTAATTATTCTTATTGTCAAGAAAAAAATCCTCATGATTTCTTTTTTTCAATGGTTCCACCAGATTCTGCTTAGAATTTGACTTTTTTAAATTATATATGTTTTAGATATTTTTATTAGCTGGAAGGAAACGGAAAAAGAGCAAAACCTCAAATTACCTCATCTCCATTGACCCAACAGACCTGTCACGAGGAGGAGAGAGTTTCATTGGAAAATTAAGGTAAACATCTACTTTTAAAATGTATGCTTAATTGTGAAATGGTTTGAGATTTAAAGCAATTCAAACCTCTTTATGTTTGTAAACTTGCATTGTTTCTGCATGTAGGTAAAAGGGAATAAGCTCTATACTTATTAGCATTGATAATATTGCCTAGTTGGGTAACAAAACATATGCAAGCAAATAACCAAGCTCAGAGAACATCAAGGATTCTGCAGACTTGAATTTTCCCAGTTCTAGTCCATACCCTTGTTATACAACACCTAATAACTTAGAAAATGGATACATTTAATGTCAAAAAGAGAAGATTTAGGGAAGAGGTGGGGAACTATTGCCCTTTATGACTTGTGTATTTCAACTCCCAGAATTCTTGAGCCAGCGTGACTGATTCAGGAATTCTGGGAGTTGAAATCCACAAGTCATAAAAGGGCCATAGTTCCCCACTCCTAGTTTAGGGGAAACACAATTCCAGTTTTCATGATAATAAATAAAGTACCATATTTAGTACTGGACAGTGATTACTCTTTTACTTCAATAATAGGTCAAATCTCATGGGGACTAAGTTTACAGTTTACGATAATGGAGTTAACCCAGTGAAAACAACATCGAGTTTGGAGGCAAGTAATCTACGCCAGGAGTTAGCTGCTATTTGCTATGTAAGTATTTTCCTATGCAAAAAAAAAGAAAATGTGTATTAGTAGAATAAATAACAATTGTTGGATTGAGTAATAAAATAACTTCAACATGTTTATAATTCCAGAATACGTATTTTCATGGACTCTATGTAAAGAATAGTTACTGTATACATATACATACATCTTTGCATCAGGCGTTTACAGCTTCACACATATATTAGGGGTATATTAGTACCATAACAGCATAGTCTTTGCATTAGAATTGGACATTATAAGATTCATCTAGTATTATAAAATGGCATTCCAGTATTCTCATTTTTAATTTCCAACGTTCATTTCTTTCCTGTTATGTTTTTTATACTATGAATTCAAATTGCCTTTATTTATCTGTATGCTACTCTATGTACTTCTCCAGTGAAAGAACAAAATATAATTTCTTTTAAAAAGAGGTCGTAGAACAATCATTTTTGCAAAATAAGAGGATGCTCAAGGGCAGGAATTATTTTTATTCAGGATGATGGATATCTTGGAAAAAGTCCAGCCCCAACTTGGAATTACTGGGGAAAGCAACATCTAGATTGATCCAATTGGTTTATTCCTGTGCCAAATAATATTTAATATGATATGTAGCTACTGTGTTGCTCTCATTTCCAGGAACACAGACCATCAGTATGACCATGAATAAAAAACAGATTAAGCATCTACTTGCTTTCTACATTAGCCTGGCAGCATGATGATGCTATTTAACATGACATTGTATGAAGCATAGTTCAATTTTAGCCAAAGCAATGAATAAAAGGCTAAGAAATACTGTGAAATTAACCATTCTGTCACTTGTGCAAGACTGCTCTTCTCAGCTGCATGGACTTGGCATTGTTCAACAAGGGGTTCTTTGTGGAGTATTATTATTTGTGGAGTTACCTTTGAAGTCACCATCTGTAAAACATCTACAGTTTACAGTGCACTGAATTGGATGTATTAATACTGGTTTTAAATCCAGTGTAATTAAAAATGGTAAATATACCCAATTATTCATGAAGGTGACTGGATGATTCATCTGGGTACAACAAACATTCCCAGCATTTTCTACCCTGGAGTGACTTTTCCCATTGAAACCCTGGGTTTCCCTGAAGCAAGAATGATTCACTGATGTTTTAGATGCATGTGATCATTAAGATATAAAAAGAATTAAAATACATTCTAGGGAAAGACCCTGTCTTGCAAAATCTTTAACCATATTTCTTGAAAAGGAGAAGGAATTAGGTAACAAGATCTGAACAATTAATACTTTGAGTTTAACACTGAATTTATTTATTGATTTGCTAGGCTGGGGTCTTCATAAATCTCTTGTTAACTTGAGGGACAGGAGAAATGACTAAGCTTGGTCTTTGATAATGGAGGAGTATCTAGATGTCCTGAGCCAGCATTGTTTTGCAAATTATTATTAGTTTGCTCAGTCCTGCAAAGTCCAGAAATGTTTTAAATGACATTTTCTTAAAATAAAATTTAGCGTTTATGTTGACTTTAGAAGCCAGCGGGAAGCATTCCTGACATACTAGATCATCTTCTTTATTCTTTAAAATGCCTGAAGTGTGTTCTAATATAATGGCAAAGGTGCCAAGTTAATACTAGAATGATTCAAGGTTACAGTATGGAAACTCAAGATTCAAGACCATCTTCCACCACAAAACTCACAAGGTGAATTTCAGTCAGTCACTCTCTTTAAGGCAGGGGTATCGAACTCAAGGCCCGGGGGCCAGATCCAGCCCACGGAGTGCTTAGATCTAGCCTGCAGGGCTGCCCTGGAAACAGCAAAGGACTGGCCTGTGGTGTCTCTGCCAGTGAAAACAGTTTTCGCTGGCAGAGGGTTGCAGGATGCCATTGCAGCTGAAAACGGAGCTTGCGAGGGCCACGGGCAGCCCTTCCAAGCTCCGTTTTCGCTGGCAGAGGGTTGCAGGAAGCTGTCACAGCTGAAAACAGCTCAGGAGCCTGTTTTCGCTGGCAGAGCGCTCAGGCCACCACAGGCACCCCCAACACAAGTGATGTCGAGCTAGCCATGCCAACCCTGGCCCCCCAAGGTCAAACAACCCTGATGTGGCCCTCAATGAAATTGAATTTGACACCCCTGTTCTAAGGCAAACTACCTCATAGAATTTCTGTGGGAGGAAAATGAAGGAAGAAAATAAAATAAACAGCATCCTCCCTTTCCAGTCTGGCAAAAGCTAAAAGAAAATTAGGATTCTTTGCTACACATAATCGTTTAAGGCAGTTTAAGATACTTCCTTTTTCTCAAAATATTCAGGATAATCTAATCTTAGTGAAGAGTAATAGAAATGAAGAACTTCCAAAATAAAACAACTCGTATTCTTTTTCGGTCATATATTTTAGGATTGCTTGGTATCAGGAAGGTTTCTAAAAATATTGCTGGGAACATTGGAGAAAAACCTCGTCATAAATTGTTTTTTAAACCATGTTCAATTGGAGTGACCCAGGTTGAAGAGAAACACAAAAGCACAGGACCCTGGGCATGTGGGGTTTTTTATCTCTCTCTAGAAGAGTTGAGAAGATGTTTTATTTTGTAAATTCATATAAAAGTACTATGTGTAAATTTCTATATTCTGTTTTATTACTATATACTACCGGTATTACAATGATAATTATTATCAAGACAACTACTATATTCTATACTATTATAATTGAATATACTGTACTCTGGACTCATTATCTATATATTATGCTCTATAGCAGTGATGGCTAACCTTTTTGCCATCGCTTGCCAAAAGCGGAGGGAGTGCAGGGGGAATAGAATAGAAGAATAGAATAAAATTTTATTACAGTCATCGACCAGCAATAGACAATAAATTAAAAATAATACTAATATTAATCATAAGTAATAACATCTCTGTTATGAAAATACCTGATCTTAAACCTAATCTACATGCATAGGGGATTGCAGGGGGGAGTGTGCGTGCCCACACCCATGATTCAATGCACCCCTCCCCCCCACATGTGCACGTGACTCCCCCGCTTTTGGCACGCAATGGCACGGTGGGCCTGGTAGGCCAATTTTTCACCCTGCCCAGGCTCCAAAGTCTTGGATCCTGGGGAGGGCAAAAACGGCCTTCCTCACCCCCTCAGAGGCCCTCCGGAGGCCAGAAACGGGGTGGGGAAGGCCGTTTTCGCCTTCCCCAGGCTCCGAGAAAGCTTCTGTAACCTGGGGAGAGCAAAAAACGGGCCTTCCAGTCCCACCGGAAGTCAGCAAACGGGCTGTTTCCAGCCTCCAGAGGGTCTCCGGCGGGGGGCGAGGAGCCGTTTTCACCCTCCCAGGCTCCTAGAAAGCCTCTGGAGCCCGGGGAGAGCAAAAAACGGACCTCCCCCCCCCAAGACCCTCCGGAGGGCAGAAACAGCTGGTGGGCCCGGAATGCCCGAAAGTCAGCTGTCCAGTGCGCGCATGCATGCTGGAACTGAGCTAGGGCAACGCTCGCGTGTCCACCAATATGGCTCCTTGTGGCACGCGTGCCATAGGTTTGTCATCACGGCTCTATAGTATTACTAGCATGCATCAGTGTTTCTTTCTTAAGCCTGTTCTATCTTAAGTCCCTTCTCTCTGAGATTTCTTCTTCTTTTACTGGCCAGCATGTAGAGCTATTGCATTTTTTTTTACACTGCTTTGTGTTGTTGGACTTCTGTACTCCCCCCCCCCCTTGCTTTTGGACCATCTACTTCTTCTGAAGGAAAAACAGTACTTTCATTTGGCTACTGTACTTGGTTTCCTGGTGGCTTCAGGACACATGTCTCCACTCACATCTGTGTCAAGGTTGCAGCTTTTTTGGCAACTGCCACGCTGATGCTGGTGAGAAGGCTCAATTGAGAGGGAAAGGAGGAAGCATAGTTTTTTTTTTCTCAAACAGCTTGTTTTTGCTCACACAAAAACAATCAATTCCAATATTCTTTTTAAATGATGGTATTATTATAGCACTGGTAGTAAGAAAAACTGCATTATGCATTTTAATAAAACCTTTTCCTATTCATATAGAAAGTTTCCAACATTCATCCCGTCTTTAAAAATAATTACAAAAATTATTGTAATATCCGTTAAGTGTTGAATTGTTAATTAAATCCTAGATGCAGAGACTTTTCATAATGTTGTTTAAGTAAAAGTAAAATAAGCCATGATTTTGCTTTCATTTTCTTGTTGCTGTTGGTCATTAATACAGCTGCCACGGCACCTAATGGTCACTGTCAAAACTGCAGCAGTAGAGGAATTCTAAATAGATTCATTAGAAATACAATCGCATTTGGAAGGAGAAACCATCTGTTGTTGATCTCTTGGCCATTTAAATATGGATCAGTTTCATAAAACTGTTATTTGGAACTCAGCTCATGATTAACCAACTGGCTACAATGCCTTTAATTTTTTGTTGAAAGGAATGTAATAACAAAAATAAGCAGATGGGTTTTTGCAGCCCTGACACATTCAAATCTGCTTCAGATAAGCAATAAGCAGAATCTGAACACTAACTGCCAGTTGACAGAGGAGGGAATTATGGAACAAGATGTACCCTGCCTAGACTCCTTTAGTACACTCAGTAGTAAATGAAGAAAGAAACATGACTCCTTCCCCTACATCTCTCCCCCCTTATTTTGTCACATATGGGTTTTATATCTGAGATATAAAATTAGGTGACTAAGGGCTGAGCCCATCTCTCTCCTACAGCATCAGTATGTAGGTGTCCACTATTTCTCAACTTTGGCTGATAGATAGATGCAATATAGATTCCCCACTTCAAATGTTTTGGATTTTAATTTCCAGAAAACGCTCATGTGGTCTCCTTAGTTAAAGAGCATCAGGCTGAGGAACAATGCTTTAAAGTGACTTACTTTAGTAGATTACCATGGCATGTATCAAGTACATTAGAATGATCAAAGCACTACGATATATAAACGTTTAAAGTGCTAAATTACGTTGTTGATACTGCTGCTGTTAAAAATAAATCATTAATTACACAACTAAAGTGCACCCAGTACCAAATTCTGAGCCTATTTATGTTTTTCCTTCCTTCCTTCCTTCCTTCCTTCCTTCCTTCCTTCCTTCCTTCCTTCCTTCCTTCCTCCCTCCCTCCCTCCCTCCCTCCCTCCCTCCCTCCCTCCCTCCCTCCCTCTTAGATAAAGGTCTATTATATTTTCAGTATTTATCTTATTGTCTTAAAACAGGAAACAAACGTTTTGGGGTTTAAGGGTCCTCGTAAAATGAGTGTCATCATACCTGGAATGAATATGGATCATGAGAGAGTTTCCATCAGACCACGGAATGTAAGTCAGTCACCATTATCCCAATCACCATAAGCTACCTCAACCAAGTTTAAGGATGCAATTACATGTCAGTCCTGGGAGACATTGGTTTTTTAATTTCCTTCATAGGTGAAGAAGCCCAGAATTCATCTATAAATATTTTCATAGCCACTGAGGACAAATTCAGAGGATAGAGAAAAAAGGGATTGAATGCAGAGGATGGGCGGATGCTATAACACTAATCCCAGATTCTGGCATAATTTATATTCTTTGCAACAGGAGAGAACAAGTTTTTTTAAAAAAAATTGTTGTTTTAATCTGAAAAAAATGTTTCTTAAACATACAAAATTCACCCCCTCTGTTCTGCTTGGATTTGTTATTAGTTAGATTTGTGTTCTGTCATTCCTCCAGGAAGTGAAAAAAGCCTAAATTGTGTTTCCTCTGCTAATGATTTCTCCATAGTCGCCCCATGAGATAGATTGGGTTTTCCCCAAAGGTGCTTTTTCAGGAGGCAACTGGTCATTCTTGTTTTTTCTTTGAAGATGTTTCTCCAAGAAGCTTCTTCAGTTCTGCCGGATAGTGGGGGGTGGAAGGTTTTATATTCCTTGCAGACAGTTGGTTATTTGTCTCCTTTTAGAGGGTCATTGAAGCACTTGGAGGTTTATCTGTGTCCTCAGGGTCATCTGAGTAGTGCTCCTGGTTCCTGTGGTCAAAGAAAAAACAAGAAAGTCCAGTTGCCTCTTGAAAAAGCACCTTTGGAACAACCGTGACCTGGATGACTGAGGATCTCTACAGCTATACAATTTGGGATGAACACCCTTTGAATGGTGTGGGAGTAGGAATGGATTTCCAGAGGGAAAAAAAATTGCAGACTACAGGAACCAGGAACACTACTCAGGTGACCCCAAGGACACAGATAAACCTCTAAGTGCTTCAACAACCCTCTAAAAGGATACAATTGACTAGCTGTCTGCAAGGAATATAAATCCTTCAATTTCCCACTATCCTGTCAGAGCTGAAGAAGCTTCTTGGATGAGAAGCGAAACGTCTTCAAAGAAAAACCAAGACAGTCCAGTTGCCTCCTGAAAAAAGCATCTTTGGGACAACCATGATCTGGATGACTGAGAATCTCTACAGATTGGGTTTATAATTCCCAGTTATGTTAAAATGAGACTGGCAGGTCTTTGGGGTTTGAGTTTCCATTTGTTCCTGAACTGGCTGTTCTGAAGTCAGGGATTTACTCACCTTGTCATAATGACCCTTCTTCAACTTAGTGAGAAAAATAGAGAAAGCCATTTACTACTACTCTGACAGTTACTAACATCAATTGTTAGCATTGTTATGTCTAAAATAAGCATTGTTATATCTAAAAAACTTGTCATGAAAAATAACACTTATCATAAACTAGAAAAAATGCCAGGTGAGGCTGGGACCTCTGAAAATTCATTTCTTATATATTATATAAGCAGTTACAGGAATCAGTAGCTTCCCAACTTAGTGTACCTGAAGATCTATGAAAGATATTAGCCATTTCTATATCACAGATACTACATATGCTAATTACTAGCACAAGTATGATTGGCCACAGATCATTTGATTGGTTTGTATTCATTGGATTTAGGTCTATGCATGTTGACTTTTAACATGCCATTGTCAACAGCAGGAGTTGGTTTGCTAGAAGTTGTTTGTAGAGCCCTGTGCTTGGTGTCAAGGTTCACATAAGCTTTTCTGCAGACAGTACTAAAAGATTGCTAAAAGTTGTGTTCGGAGCTCCTGCTGAGTGTCAAGATTCACACAAGCTCTTCAGCAGACAGTACCGGGGTTACATACAATCAGTCTGTGTCCTAGTGGCAGAAATGCTGAGAATGGAGAGAAAAACATAAATGACAGCACAATATGTGCAGCCTTTAAGGGAAAAAAAGTTTGCATGTTTTAAAAGTGAATCAGGAAAACAATCCGAAATACAAATTTATTCTTCCAATTCTGCCTTTTCTCTGGCTCTTGTTGCCCACCCTCCTACCCCCACTCTTTAGGCTGTTGTGCTTTTTCTTTGTAAGCCAAACAAAGCATGAAAACATAAGTCTGTCAATGGGGAGGGGGCGGGGGAGGGAGGGAGAAATCTTAGAATCTTCAGTCTAAGTGTGAGGAGCAGGGAGAGGCCCTTATTCTCTCCTAGTTACACTGGTAATATAAGTGAATAGATTATGTTCAGCATTGTCTGCTGCAAGGAGTCTTCACATGTTATGGATGCTTCTATATGATCTGAAGCACTCAACTATCCAGAGTTGTGGATAATAAACTGCAGTCATGCATACAACAAGGCTCTGTTGCCAGCAGTTATGCAGTAACTAATAGAAGATCTTCTTTTCTAACACCAGAGTAATGACTTGCTACAAGGAACTGTTTATTGCTACTTGAATTCTGCACTGAAACTATGAAGAGAGCAATGACAATAAAAAATACTACTTCTTAAAATCTGAGACATTGCTATCCCCAGATCTGTAAAAGTTTTAAGGTTTCATTCTTCTCATATCTTTTAATAAGAAGGTTAAAATGGAGTTACTGGAGTAAAGCAAATACTTTCTTGGCAAATATGGAAAAATATATTGACATATTTGTATCTTTATTGGGGACTGTGTCATTGAAGACATTTGCATTCTTTCAATTCTATATTTTTGCCTCAGCCTGATATATATAATTACATTCTTATTCTTCCTCAACATTGGCAAGATAATAGGTGCCACTGCCTCCCGTTAAAATATAAATGCTTAGAGTATATCTATGTGTGAAGATTTAATGCTCTGTCACTTGCAAGTCTGCTATATCCATTTGCTATGCCATATAGAAGGTCCCAAATGCAATCCAAACCTTGCCCCTCTAGAAATATGAACTACAACAGGACCTGGGAAGTACCGTATTTTGACATGGCTGTGATTTCCAAACTGATTCCAAACTAGCTTATACCACTTTACTATGTAAGTCTAGACTGTAACAAGAGTTAGTGTTTGTGTTTGTTAGTTGATCTCCGTATGCTCCCCAATGACAATGGAGTTAGAATAGCATGTAGGTCTGACAATCTAAGCAGTTGATTTGGGAGGGCTAGGGATTTTATTTTAGGAAGGTTTTGAACACTGGAATGGGGAATTGGTATATATTCAAAGAGTGGCAGATAGCTTTCGGCTAAACTCAAACTTATATCCGTGGTTCTGATAGGAACACGAAACACTCCTCTCAAGATGGCAAAACAAAAACACAGAGAGTGTGATTGAGCTGCACAACAAAACTCCAGTCTGGAATGATGATACTCAGTCTTATGTTTTAAATTTCCATGGTCGTGTAACACAGGCCTCAGTGAAAAACTTCCAAATTATTCACGACAATGATCGTAAGTATGACTTCTCTAGTTAAACTTGTTGGAACACAGATTGCTTTTCTGAAATCTAATGAGATCCTCTATACAATGATACTAAAGATATGTTAGGTTTCCTCAAACCAGAATTCATGTTGTATTTCTCTTACTGCAGTTTCCTTTTCTCAGATGTTGATAGCATACCTATGAATAGGGCAATTCGGATGGTTGTCATTCATTCATTTTGATGTTTTGATGAAGTTTTGGGCAAGGGTGAAATCTAGGGCAATCGTTTCTAATAAGACTTCCCAAATATTTTCAGCTTAAAACACTCATCTGTGTTCTTTTGGCTTGAATATACTGTATTTTTCAGAGTATAAGATGGACCTTTTCCCCCCCTAAAAAGGGATGAAAATTTAGATGCATCTTATACACCAAATGTAGCCCCGCCCACTCACTGGCCCCCACTCTTTGGCCTCTGCCTCGCAGCAGTTACCTCCTTGCAAGCAAACAGCAAGAAAAACCAGCTCCTTTCAGCTTCAGCACAGCCTAATTAGCACAAGTTGATTGGATTGGCCTCCCGACTCTTAGCTGATTTGCTCTCAGCTGTTTTGCGCAGGGCTGCTGCTTGCTGCAAAGAGGTAAATTGCTGGAGCAGATTTTTTTCCCCTTGTGCTAATCAAGCTATGCTGAAAACAAAAATGAAAGTAAAGCAGGCTGTTTGCTATTTGCTGCAACGAGGCAAAATTGCTCAGAGGCAGAGGGAGATTTTCTTCTTTTCCTCACCAAAAAAGGTAAGTGCATCTTATACTCCGGTGCGTCTTATACTCTGAAAAATACGATAGTCCCTCTACTGTATCCTCAAGGGTTGAGCTAGCAGAGGCAAAGAGTAAAATGAAATAAAATATGAATAGCTAAGACACTGATAGCTAGTTCTCAGAGTAGCACATAAACAGCTTCTAATTTAGCTGAAGAGTGCCACCCTATTGCATAACACCTGCCACATAACACCCAAGACTTAATAACTTGTTGATAAAAAAGACAAAAAAGTTGAGATAGTGGATGTGGCAGTGTTTATTTATGTATCAAACTTTTTAACCGCTCATCATCCTCACAGAGAGGCTCTGGGTGGTGTACAATTTAATCACCTGGAGATAGCAGAATAGAAGAGGAAGAATTAGAGAAGATAACAAAATACAATGACTGTGACAAAAGAAAGTAAAGGTAGCACCAATAGTAATAGGCACCTTGGGTTGGAGTATCACTTGAACATTATCAGCAGTGACATCAGTTAATTGCAAAAGGCAACTTTACTCAAAACAGCTTACATCCTGCAACAATACCTTTAGGACCATCAACATCCACATCTGTCTATCCCAGATCATTGGGAAGGATTTGATAGGTGGATAAAAATGCCAGATCCAGTCTTGAACATCTGACTAACTGTGCGACAAACCATAATATAATAATTATTTTTGAGAGAGGTGAAATCTTTATAATGGAGGCATAGTTTCTGGTCGGATGCATATTTTTTTAAATTTGCCCTCCTTAATTCAATCTATAAAGATATCCTAATGCCCACGGTTATCAGATGTAGTTTTGACCTCATCATTTAAAGGTGATGGGGGGGGGGCAGATGGTGTGCCTTCACCATTTTAACGTGTGCCAGAAGAAACATCATCAATCTGATGAAAGCCCCCCCCAGAAATGCCTGCTTAGGAAGTAGTTCTTCTCTTCATCACTGGTTCATTCACCACATCCTAACTTTGCTCTAAGCGCTGGCTGGCAGGCTTCAATTTTGTCCTTTCAGCAGTGGGTTCGCAAAGCATGTTGGGAGGCAGCTATTCGGGGGATCAGCCGGCTTAACAATATGGAAGCTGAAGTGGAAGGAAAAAGCGTAGCTTGCTGAGTCTTTTCCAGTCACTGCAGCTGTCTTCTGATTTTGTTCTATTCATCCCACCAGCGTTTTTGGATCCTTTTCTGTTTCCTGACTTATAAAGAATGTCATTTATAAGGACATCCGTGCCATGTGCGGAAGTGGCGGATACCACACAGCTGGGCAACATTTCTTTTCTCTTTTTTTTATCAGAACATTTTTAAAATCTATTTTAAAACATCAAGAAACAAAGTAAATGAACTACAAAACTACAAAATAAATGAAACAAAAACCAAAAATAGTATATATGCAGACTTTACAAATTGTCATAATATTTAAAATTCAACATTTTATTGATGAAACAATTCATTATTTTATTGATGAAATAATTTAAAATAGACTGATAATATCTTAAGAAATACTTGACAATCACTACTGAAATTTAGGTTTATAAAGAAGTCGCTATTAGTTATTCCTAAAATAGATGCACTTGATTTATTTATTTATTTATTTATTTATTTTTGAATTTGTATACCGCCCTTCTCCCTGAGGACTCAGGGCGGTGAACAGCCAGATAAAAACACCAGATACAAATATTAAAACACATTTAAAAAATATATATAGATTTGGCCCCGTTAATTAAAAACGATCAGCAAAACAGAACAATTAATAAAACCCTTAAAAAGAAATTAGGCCAGCCCGGCTTGTTGAAAAAAGAAAGTTTTAAGGGCACGGCGGAAGGCACTGAGGTCATGGATTCTCCTTATCTCAGGGGGCAACTGATTCCAGAGGGTAGGTGCCCCCACAGAGAAGGCCCTCCCCCTGGGGGTCACCAGCCTGCATTGTTTGGCTGATGGCACCCCGAGGAGGCCCTCTCTGTGGGAGCGCACGGGTCGGTGGGAGGTCGTCGGTGGCAGTAGGCGGTCTCGAAGATAGCTAGGCCCTATGCCATGGAGCGCTTTAAAGGTGATAACCAACACCTTGAAGCGCACCCGGAAGACCACCGGGAGCCAGTGCAGTTCACGCAGGAGCGGTGTTACATGGGAGCGCCACGCTGCTCCCGTCACTACCCGCGCTGCTGCGTTCTGGACCAGTTGGAGCCTCCGGGTGCTCCTCAAAGGGAGCCCCATGTAGAGAGCATTGCAGTAATCAAGGCGAGAGGTCACGAGGGCATGAGTGACTGTGCACAAGGAATCCCGATCAAGAAAGGGCCGCAACTGGCGGATCAGGCGAACCTGATAAAAGGTCCCCCTGGTTACAGCCGTCAGATGTTCCTCCAAGGACAGCTGTGTATCCAGGAGGACTCCCAGATTGCGAGCCCTCTCTGTGGGGGCCAAAGACTCGCCCCCAATAGTCAGTGATGGAGTCAACTGACTATATCGGGATGCCGGGAACCACAGCCACTCAGTCTTGGAAGGGTTGAGCCTGAGCCTGTTCCTCCCCATCCAGATCCGTACAGCCTCCAGGCACTGGGACATCACTTCAAGGGCATCGTTGGGGTGGCCTGGGGTGGAAATGTACAGCTGAGTATCATCAGCGTACTGATGGTATCTCACCCCAAAGCCACGGATGATCTCGCCCAGCGGCTTCACATAAATGTTGAACAGGAGGGGCGAGAGGACCGACCCCTGAGGCACTCCACATATAAGAGGCCTCGAGGTCGACCTCTGCCCCCCTGCCAACACGAACTGCGACCGGTCGGAGAGAAAGGAGGAGAACCACCGTAACACGGTGCCCCCCATCCCCAACTCTTCCAACCGGTGCAGCATGATACCATGGTCGATGGTATCAAAAGCCGCTGAGAGGTCTAACAGGACCAGAACAGAGGAGCAACCCCTGTCCCGAGCCCTCCAGAGATCATCAACCAACGCGACCAATGCCGTTTCCGTGCTGTGCCCAGGCCTGAAACCAGACTGGAACGGATCCAGATAGGATGTTTCCTCCAGGAATTGCGGGAACTGTCGCGCGACCACACTCTCAACAACCTTCGCCAGGAAGCGAAGGTTGGAGACAGGACGGTAGTTGGCCAATATTGCTGGATCCAGGGACGGCTTCTTGAGGAGAGGCCTCACCACCGCCTCCTTCAAGGCCGCGGGGAAGTAACCCTCACTCAACGAAGCGTTGATAATACCCTGGAGCCAGCCTCGTGTAACCTCCCGGGAGGCCAGTACCAACCAGGAGGGACACGGGTCCAGTAAACATGTGGCCGCACTAAGTCTCCCCAAGATCCTGTCCACATCATCGGGAGTCACAGCATCAAACTCCTCCCAGATAACATTCTCAGGACTATTCCTCGTCACCCTGCCCTGATCTACCCAGTCAGAGTCCAAGTCCCCCCGGATCTGAGCGATTTTGTCATGCAGGTATTGTCCGAAATCCTCCGCCCTGCCTTCCAATGGATCCTCCCGCGCTCCCAGATGGAGCAGGGAGCGGGTTACCCTGAACAGGGCGGCCGGACGATTCCCTGATGACGCAATAGAGGCGGAAAAGTAATTAAACTTTGCCGTCTTTATCGCCACTAGGTAGGTCTTAATATGCGACCTTACCAGTGTTCGGTCAGATTCAGCGCGACTGGCCCTCCAACCGCTCTCTAGGCGTCTTTTCCGGCGTTTCATCTCCCTCAGTTCCTCGGTGAACCAAGGAGCCGCGAGGGATCGACACCGGGTCAGAGGCCGCAAAGGCACGACTCGATCCAAGGCCCCACCAGCCGCCCGGTCCCAGGCAGCTACTAGGTCCTCGGCCGAGTCGTGTGCCAGATCATCAGGAATTGGCCCAAGCTCCGTCTGGAACCTATCAGGATCCATCAGGCGCCTGGGGCGGACCCATCTAATTGGGTCCGCCTCCCTGCGGCGGGGTGTAGCGGTACGAAGGTCCAGACGAAGGAGTGAGTGATCTGACCATGACAAGGGTTCCATATCTATATCCCCTATAACAAGATCACTCAACCACTGGCCAGAGACAAAAATCAAGTCTAGAGTGTGTCCCCCCCCGTGAGTGGGGCCATGAACTAACTGGGTCAGGTCCATGGCCGTCATGGAAGCCATGAACTCCCGAGCCATCCCAGACGTTTCACCAACGGATGGCAAGTTGAAATCACCCATGACCATAAGCCTGGGTGTATCAACTGCCACCGCGGCTATCACGTCGAGTAGCTCAGGCAGGGCTGCTGCCACGCGGCAGGGAGCCAGGTACGCAAGCAGCAAGCCCATCTGAACCCCATGACCCCATCTCACGAAGAGGGACTCACATCCGACAATCTGAGGCACAGTGGTCTCCCTCGAACCGAGACCTTCTTTAATAATAACCGCCACCCCCCCGCCCCTCCCCTGGGCTCTTGGTTGATGGTATGCTCTGAAACCTGGTGGGCACATCTCGACCAGAGGGACACCTCCCTCCGGTCCCAACCAGGTCTCCGTAATACCTGCCAGGTCCGCTCCCCCCTCCTGGATAAGATCGTGAATGAGGGGGGCCTTATTTACCACAGACCTAGCGTTGCACAGCATCAATCGCAGGCCCAGGTCCTGAGTATCTAAGCCACCTAGTATCCGAGGGGAGCCTTGGGGGCCGGGGCGCGCAATTGCTCTCAGACAGCGAGTGCGCGTCCCCAACACATGATGTGGCCCCCTGCTCCCGCCATATCTGCCCCTCCCAGCCACCGTGCAGATGGTATTTCCCTCCGCCCCCTCCCCATTCCCTCGTGCAATGTCCTCCAAACCGTTACCCAGTGCCGGGCTCGGCTCTGACCTTGGTGGATTACCCCCCCCATCCCCTTTGGTCGTCCTCCCGGTTCCCCTTAAAAAATTATTAAAAACCCTAATTAAAAAACCCCTTAATCCCCGCTTTGAAACATGCCACCTCTCAGGGCTCCAAAGCCCGTCCTTAAGGTAGGCCTTTGATAACGTGGAAGGCCATCGCCGCGAGAGGGGGGCATCTCGCAGCGCAAGCAGGTCTGTCGTGGTATAAGCCATACATAGATGAGAGGTAAAAAAGTCTGGTCAGGAGTTTGATAAATAGTCTAAGATGTTGGAGCAAGATGGATCTCAAAGCAGGTAGCTGGACTCCACTGCCCTCTCACTGCAGTGGGAGGAGTCCCGTGTCATTTCATCAAGATTGGAGGTAAGAATCCAAGCCACCCTCTCACGGTGGCTAGCCCAGATGGAAAGGGCTTAGGAAGGTTAGATGGTCTATTCCTCCATTGGTGAAAGGCAGCAACTCCCTCAGCTCCCGCATGACAGTTGCCCAGACACCCTCCAGCTTGGGGCTCAAGATGAAAAAGGAGCCAGACCATAGAGGCATGATGTTATTAAACCCGAGGGAGAGAAGATGTTCAAAGGGAGGGATAACATACAGCTGGATACAATGTGGAGGCGGGGAGCCGAAGACCAAGTCAAGGGCATGGGGGGGAGGGATCAATCGAGGCGACCAGGTGACCAGTTTTTTGGTCGCACTCCAGCCTCTCCAGCCCCCAGGACTTCATAACACCCCCTGATTGTATCTCCCGTCTCCAGTCTCCAGCCCCCAGGTCAGATAGTCTATTCCAGATATTAATGGTAAGGCCAGAAACAAAGCGGCCATATCTCCCCCCATTCTTCGCTGCTAAGCACCAGGCCGCCGCCGCCATCGTCTCGCCATCGAGCCACAGCCGCCATTGCCGCCTCAGCTGCCATCGTCGATGCCGTCTGGAACCCGGCCCCTCGACACATCCCAGGACCACCGGGACAACATCCAGGGCCTGGGAGGGGAGGGCCTGCTCCATGCCACCACCGCCGCGCCCACAGCTGCCGCCGCTCCGGCCTCCGCGGCCTCCAGCGCAGAAGGCGGCTGTCATTCTCCCGCGGCGCCTCCCGCGTCGGCTCCACCCAGCCGCAATATTCCGGAGGGCGAAAAAGCCCTCAGCAGGCTGGGCAGGGCTCCCACGACAGGGGCCGGGGCCGCCCCGGCCTCCGCGGCCTCCGCCAAAGAAGACTGCCGTATCCAGGCCGCCATTCTCCCGCAGCGCCTCTCGCGTCGGCTCCGCCCAGCCGCAATGCTCCGGAGGGCGAAAAAGCCCTCAACAGGCTGGGCAGAGGCTCCCACAGCTGGGGCTGGGGCTGCAGATGGTCAAGTCAGCTCCCCAGACCCCCAAATGACCAGAAACCGTCCCATCATCGGGCGGATCTCACATGGACAGCGCCATCTTGGGGCATGCGCAGAAGAAGGATTCATGATCTTGTGAACATAAAAATATTCTTTTAAAAAAATCAGGAAAAGCAATATTAATCCTAAATTCCCTACTATTGTACCTGGTGATTAAAATATAAACATTAAAATAGCTTCTGTTTACTATCTTTACATCAAATATTTCCCCCTTAAACATAGTCTGAGTATCTGAGTTGGCCTAGTTGCGTGATTTGTAATACACTGCTCAAAAAAATAAAGGGAACACAAGCAGAAGACATCCGAGAACTGAATGAATGAAATAGCCTTATTAAATACTTTGTTTGTCACATACAGTAGTTTTGTGTTCCCTTTAGTTGTTTGAGCAGTGTATAAACTACTGTATGTAAAGAACAAAGTATTTAATAAGGCTATTTCATTCATTCAGATCTCGGATGTCTTCTGCTTGTGTTCCCTTTATTTTTTTGAGCAGTATATATAGGCAAGCCCTACTTGCTTAATTTTAGTCAAATTTCAGTTTTGAATGTACACTTTTAATTTTGCTGTGGCTTCATATTCCCCAGCTGCTCAGTATTTCATTGCTTTCTGAAAAACACTGTGTCCTAGTTCAGATTTCAGCTACCGTAATCTAAGGAGATAGACGTTACTTCTTTTTTTCTAATTATACAGTTTGGTGTAGTACTGTCCTCATAATCTAAAATGTGTTAAAAGTCATATCTTTATGTTTCTTTATTCTTTCAGCCGACTATATAGTGATGCAGTTTGGCCGTGTGGCAGAAGATATTTTTACAATGGATTATAATTATCCTATGTGTGCAGTACAAGCCTTTGCTATTGCCCTGTCCAGTTTTGACAGCAAGCTAGCTTGTGAGTGAACAAATTATGCCTAAACTTCACTGCAGCCAAAACCATGTGCCACTGTAAGAAGAAAACACACATTCCACATTTTCTCTGGTGTCATCAGTGGTCACATATCCTTATGAGGCAGGTAAAATTTGTTTTCTGAAGGACCAACCTTTTTTGATGAAGAGAAAATATTTTAAAATTTCAAGACTTTCAGGAATGTTTTCCCCGCTTATTCTCTATTTTTCTGGAAGTGGCATCAGAGCTCTATAAATAGAAGTCCTATCTTAATGTCCTCAGTTCTGTTATAAAGATGCACATAATTGTGGCTTAAGTGAAAACACCATTGGGATCAATGATGTCTTTTTTTAAAAAAAACCCATAAAAGCTATCACGACACAGATCTAGTTTTGGATTTAAGACATGTTCGGAGGCTGTCAGCATACCTCAAGATTTCATTCACACTTTTGAGGATTTTGTGTCACCCATCTCAAACATATGACCGTGAGAAAGATGCAAACTTTTTTCAAGAAAGAAACAAGGTAGCGTTTACTCTCAAAGCCAAGACTGAAATTGATTTGTGATACTGTTTTATGTGGGAAGGAATCTGACAAATTTTTAATCCTGATGGGGAATGGAATGGGGGGCGGGGGGGAATCGGAAGCACAAGTTAATATTGCACAACTCACTTGTACTCCAAGGTGTTATTTTATAGATTGTGTTTTAAGTCTCACTTTCTGATGTTAGTTCACTCTTATTTTTAAGAAGGGAAGTTTGATTATGCGAAGTCACCAAATGGATGGGAGAAATGATGCTGAATCATTATACTAACTAAAAATTGGGGAATATTCTAAAAGAAGGAAAAAAAAATGTGCTTCAACATGTATGATGTCTCAGGTCTCATATGTGGCATGTTCTGTCCAAGAAAGTTTTCTGTCTTTTACCCTGGAGAACTGCTGCCCTTTGGGTAGACATGATTGGACTAAAAAGTTGAAGGGCTGACACTGAACAAAGTGTATGCATCTACTGTAAATTAATTGAATGGCATCTAATTCTTTGAATAAACCTGTCTTGATAGAGCTGCCTCTTTTAAGAAATTGTTTAGAAGATAACTGGAACTAATAGTGAATGGCATTTGCTCTTTTTCTGTCCCAATAGAGGTAGTCCTTGACTTATAGCCATTCATTTAGTGATTGTTCGAAGATATGAAGACTTATGACCAGTCCTTGCACTTACGACATTGCAGCATCCCCACAGTCACGTGATAAAAATTTGGGTGCTTGGCAACTGTATTTATGACAGTTGCGTTGTCCCAGAGTCATGTGATTGCCATTTTCAACCTTCCCAGTTGGCTTCTGACAACAAAAATCAATGGGTGAAGCTGGATTTGCTTAACAACTGCATGATTCACTGAACAATTGCAGTGATTTGCTTATCAACTTCAGCAAGAAAGATCATAAAATTGGGCACCAGCTTACTTAGCAATGGAAATTCTGATCCCAATTATGGTTGTAAATCGAGGTCCACCCGTACTGAAAGTTATATGCAGAGAAAGCTTCCAAAAACAGAAATTAATTGCAATGCCTTCTTGATTTTAAACAGATGGGTTGAATCAGAGCTTTTATTTTATTGGTGCCTTGTCCACAAACAAAGGGACACTCCACCAGGGTACCCCTATTCAAAATAATATTGGTAGCAAAAGAGAATACTACATGGATAGCAATTTCTACAGTCCCCAATTATACAGTCTTGACTACTGCAGAGGCTCCCTTAAATTTTGGAGCAGATATGGAGGGCCTAATGGAATCACCTGGAGAGATAGAATCAGTAAACATGAGTTTGTCTCTTCATCTCTTCAGCCAGAAGAAAAAATCTGCTGGATCAAACTATTCCTACTAATAGAGGGAGATGCTTCTATCTGTAGAAGATTTTTTCTGGATTTAACTATGTATGCATGTTTGTGCCTTTTTACTAACAAATCATTATATTTCAGAATGCAAGCTCTGGCTTATCTCATTTTCTTGGTTTTTTAAAAAAAAACACGTTAAGTGTACTAAAAATTTGAAATCAGAATCAGCTTTGAAGAGGATCTGAACATTTAGCATTAGTTTCGTGATTGTTTTCCACAATATGATATTGAATGTGACTGGTATACATGGAATATATACCAAGACTCAGCAGTACCAGATTTGAGGGGGGGGGGAACATACATTTTTGGCTACATTTTCATTGGATTCTACAAGGGCTGTTGGGTTAATTGTAGCAGGTTTGCCTTTGTGTGACTTACTAAAGACAATGTGCCGGTGCATCCAGTGCTGATTACAATTTTGCTGATGCTTACATCAGCATAGAAATGCAGGTGGTTGGTCTGTGAATCTCCCTTTTGTTTTAGATAATTAACAGTCCTCTTGTAGTATGTGAACACCTCTGTGCAAAAATGCAATCTGTTTGGTACGCTTTGAAATTGCCATTCTCCCAAGTCAAAGAACATTGATGACAAAGATGAAGTTATCACTCTGTCAGTTGGAGAAAAACCTAAAAGAAAACTAATTCATCTAGCAGCACTTTTTGTATAATAACACACTTTGTGATGAAAAGACATGTAAGTCAGGGTTTAGTACTTACAGAATATGGAATACATGAAGATCCATTCCCAGATTTTGCAGCAATCTTTTCCTTAGGTATATTAATGAGTCTTCTCAAAATTAGATTTATTTAAACTAAGGCTACCATTTGGACAACTTATTTGAGGATAAGCCTCCTGGCAGTTAATATCACTTGCTTTGAGTACTGCATTAGAATTGCCCCTTAGGAAGTATAGTTAAAGCTCAAATTTTTTGACTTGGTCATAAAAAATAGTCTTGTCAGTATGAGTATATTAGCATATATTTGGGCTATGTCACATTTAAACTCCTTGAAATCGAACAGACTTCTTTTAGCTAAGATTTAGTCATATTTATCTTAATGGGTCAATTTTAAACCTGATCTAATTTGTTGTATGATATGAAATTCAGTTGTTTGGATTACATTCGTCCAAGATTGAAAAGGGTTCACAAGGAGGAATGTTTGTCTCTATCTGGACTGTTTTAATTTTATGCTGTTACATTTTTCTCTTGGTGAATCCTTGCAAATTGAGATAAGAAACTTTTAGTGGATAAGGTTTCGAAGTATTGCTGCTTTTTTTTTTTTTTTTTTTTTGCTTTGATTGGACACTTTTGGAAAGAAGATAGCCTCAATGATCCTACCTACCCATTATTGGTAATGGATACACGTTCCCTTGTGCCAGTCTATCTGCAGTGATCTAGATTTGAGGGGGGGGGGGGAGCTGCAATCTTGTGATTCTGAGCTACATATTTTATTTTCAGTTTTTCTGACCCTGAAGAAGCATTGTAATGGTAACATCATTGGGAAGCAGGTCAGATGGTTTTCAGAGAGTTGGAAAGTTATTTTGGGGTAGGGTAGGAAAGTTTACCATATTTTTTGTCCTTTGTGGGTTTTTATTACAAGGCATGATCATAGAGGTGAGTTAAACAATCGTAGAAATAATTTTCTCATTAGTACACAGATACAGATACATATGTGTGTAGAGCAGCCTACTTACTGTTGTTACTGCTTTGGCTAAAAAGAAGCAAGCTCAGCAATCTTTACTTTCTGATTTGTACCCTGAAACAATTTGGATTAATCTTAAAGAAATGCATTTCCTTCCCAAATGATAAGAAAACTCACATTGAGAATGGAAAACTGTCTTCTATACTTTTCAAACTCTCTATGTACTCCATCGTGTCAATCATTAGACAATCTTAAATGCTGATGATGATGTTTGGGGGGCAAACAAGCAAGGGGGCATATAAGCATAGGGATCTAAAGGGAGAGGAGGACAAAGGATGAAATGAGCATCTTAATTGAGGATACAAACTGCCTTTTTTTTTTACATGTTTTGTATATGCATGTATGGAATGGATGGAGCTTGTGTTGTGACTTTGTGAAAGTTGTTTGTTCATTCTGATAAAACATTCAGATTCCATGGGCCACCTATTTAGGTCAACTAGGAATAAAAGCATGCATGGTATAAAAAGTGGATGGAATGGAATGTCCCCACCACTCACCCCATTACCTCCTGGCAGGTAAGGTCAGGCCCTTTCATTGATGGGTCTTTAATTCAGCACAGCAAGTATTCCTTTAGCAATATGGACTTCTATGTAACAAATTTTACCCACATAGATTGTAGTGCTGAACATTGACTAATGTGATTTTAAAACATTGACTAAATGTTAATGGTGTGCAATTCATCAGACGACTGATGGCTTGGTAGAATAGCCATCTGTGACCCACTTGTGAACTTTGAAACTGGATCTTAGTATTCTTAATCAATAAAGGAGAATATTTAATATATTTAATATTTAATACTCTCCTTTATTGAATCTTAGTCATTTTGCAAAGTGAGATATTGGATTAGAAGGACCCTGAATCTGAGCCAGCCAAGCTTGCTTATGTTCCCTTAAAAACATTTCTAGAGCTTTCAGAGCAGATTCTTTTTTCTTATCTTGAAGTGCATTAACCGGATGATCACTCCTTACAAGACCAAGACAACTTGCTATATATACTCAAGAGAATGACTAGATAGACATTTCTGGAAATCATTCTCTATTATGGAAAGCCTCCCATTAATAAAGCTTTATGGGCTTTACATGGATTCTGATTGTCCCACCCATGAGCCCTATTAATGAGTCCTCCTCCTATTGGTGAGGCTTTCCATGAGGGTTGGGAAACTAAGAACAATATGTGTAAAAATTGAAAGCAGTTTCTTTATTGCATGTTCTCCAGATGGATAAAAATCGATGATTTAAAAAATAATAATTAAAAATCAGATTTTTAAAAAATTTAAATCAGATTGTAGCATGAGGCTGATATTCTGCAATATTTACATTTTTGGTAAACTCATTCAATGAATCCAAGCTCTGCAAGCTGAGATAACATGCACTGCATTGATGCAGTCACACAATTTCACAGTAACCATGAGATAAATCATGTTCAGGAATATTCCTTTATCCCATTGTTTTGCAAATCTATGTACACTATAAACTGAATGACTGTTTGAAGAGAAATGCATCTGTACCACCAGGCTCTAAGTATGAGGAGGAAGGGCAAGCAGTAAAAATGAAATGAAACCTTCTAAGCAGCTTATAAATATAATACTAAAGAGCACCTGTCATTTCAGATTCATCATGGCAGCACCTGTTAGCGGGCATCCATTCACCTGCTGTCTGCCATGTCCCTCACCTTGTTGTGTCACTGCCCCATCACCAGCTGTCCCATCAAAGTGAATGGGACTGTCGGTGAGTCAACAGCGGGTCAGAGGAAGAGCCGCTGCGGGACAGAGATGACAGTTGCTCTTTAAAAATTATGATTTAAATCGAGTTGATTTAAATCAAGCCTTTTTACTAGTGATTTAAATCATGATTTAAATCATGATTTAAATTGACTTGGTTTAAATCAAATCCACCCTAATGTTCTCCCACAGACAAAATCTTGTTGGACCAAAGCAGTCTCTGCATAACTATCTGATAAATGCTCGGAAGAAATTGGGGAGGATCCCTCCTGTGTAATTTCTGCATAGCAAAGATTTAAGGTTGATGCTTCTCTTTACTTCTCCCTCTTGTAACTCAGCACCAGATTCCACCACAATTAAGGTGGTTCCATCTGCTACAATGTACTAGAAGTTGTCATGTCTAAAAATTTCTATGTATGTTTTTTATAAAAGTTCTGATGTAAAAACACCTAAATAGTCACAATACAATAATGTCCATACTGTATTCAGCAATCAAAATAATGGTTTCTAGTTGAAGTGTAGTACCTTCATAGGTAGCAAACAACAATGTTGATTACTTTCCCAATATTTTGCTTCACTTCATGAAAAGGCTACATTTTCATCCTCATCAAAAGTCTCTGAGAAACTCCCAAGTCAAGGTCAGCAACCAAATAGTAGCACTCACCCAATTTGACCTGAACTTTTGGAAGTCTAGTGAAAAATACTGTAGGGCATCAGTAATATTTTGAAAAACTTCTTTAATGTGAACAGGGGAAAGAGCTGTAAAAGAGTTAAGAAGACACAAATATTTTTGGATGATCAGAATACACATGGATGTGTAAATATTTCTACGTGGTTTTATAATTGTATCTTTCTTGGCACTAACTTTAGGAATTCAAGGAGTTGCTGTAGTATTTCAGTTTTTGCCTATTTTATTACTGAAAATGAGAAGTGAAATGGATGTTCGCACCACAATGTTAGAAGCACTTTTGTTAAGGAATTATGTTTAGTCACGGCAAAAAGCAGAGTGCAGTGAATAAAGCCTACAATATAATTTCACCTCTTCTTCACACTGCTCAAACTCTGCCAAAGTTCCATATATATTATGTAGAACTGGAATAAAGCACATCAAGAAGGTTAGCCAGAAATGCTCTATACTTTCTTGAGTCAGGATAATTTGTTATCTTTGCTTAGCTCTCTTTGTAGACATTTAATATTCCAACTGCAGAAATACCAAGGTGTTTGTGTAAATGTCAGGATATGAAAGATTAAGAAGGCGTAGCATTGCGGCACCATCAGAATGAAAATGAAAAGCAAATAAATTAAAACCAGCTTGTAAAACATATGAGAAATTATATTTCATTTCCCCTTTCTTATAGTGTTCTAAGAATTATTGTTTAATAAAGTTTATGCTGCAACTTGTTCATACCTTTTTCTTGAACCCTGAGACTGCTATTCTAACCACAGAGAAAAACCTAAAGAATACTCTTCGTATTCTCTTAGTTCCCAGAAAATATTTATACAACTTTATTGATACTCTAGTTCTGCTTTGTCAAGTAGATCCGTCCCAGAGAACAAGATAGCATGTTTTGTTCCAGATACTGTTTCCAAAGAAAAAAGTCAAAATTCAGATTGGTACTTACCAAAAGAAACATTCCCAATACATTTCTCTGCTTGTTTTTTTAAGAGGTAAGCCTCTCTAATGCAACATGGTTTTAGATCTCAAAAGAAGCCAGATATTTGGTTTAAACATCACTTGAAATCCAAAGTGAACAAAAGATACCATGGTTTAGTGCTATTAATTGACTCTGGTTCTGCAGGACCTGGCATGCCAGGGGAAGATGCCAATCAACTAACATACCCCTGATGTGAGCTGAATTGAAACTCTTGTTCAAAGCAGGCATATTTGGAAGCTAAAGATATCTGATTCCCATCAATGGTTTTTTTTTTTCTTATAACATTTCTCTTTATTATTTTTGTTTGTTTTTTCTTTAAAAAGAAATTTTTTAAAAAAGTCTCTTTTTTAATATTTTCATTTCAGACTTGGCCCTGGTGTAAAGCTTATTTTATGTATATATACAGTATATAACTGTACGCATGTATATGTATTGTTTTCAATTTTTTTGTTTTTGCTTCTTGTTTTCTTTTAATAAGAAAAATTGTGATAACTGTTCGCATTCCTTACGTTAGGAAATGTGAAAAAAATCCATTCTCATGGGCAAATTATGGCAGTTCCATGGAATGCAAGTTTATTCCTTTTCTTTCTCTCTCTCCCTCTCTTATTCTGATCTCTTCTTCAGTTTCTCTTGGGTTTCACTTTCCACAGTCCTCATTAGATGAGGCATTGGCTGTTCTAGAAAATGAGAGGCGGCATTTACATTTGTAGGTGTACAAATAGATACTATCCTTTCATTGGAATTATTTTTTAATTGAGAAAAACCCATTGCAGCTACTTTTATTGGTTAATCATTGCAACCACTTTATTATTTTTAACACATACATTATCCTATAAAGCTAACAACACAAGCTATGTGCCTGTGTGTATATCTCCGACACAAGGTTTTTCTCTATTCTACTGCTTTCCAGGTTTTGGGATAGAGACTTTGTTATTCGCAGATAGTTGGGTTAAAGGCATTTTGAGAATTGCAGTTCAACATATTTGGGTGAGGTTCATGTTGGCTGTTATAAATTCACCCAGAACAATTTTCCTAGTTACACAACATTTTCCTTTTTATGACATTTTCTAACAATATTAATGCAGTTCTTCACTGGAGGGATATTTGCCCTTCTACTATTCACTTAGATTCAATCTTCCTGAATAAATCCCTGAATTTTAACTAAGCCAAAATCAAACTTTGTATATGTCAATGTTAGGAATAAAATGGGTTAATGTAAAATAACATGATCTCTGGCCATTTTGAGTGGGGCTGATTTGGTTTGGAATCGTAACATTACATAGAGGACCACAGAATTCTATCCCTGAATTATAGTATATTTCAAAAGTAACATGAACATTCCTAGTAATGTCCTTGTTTGGCATTGTGGCTGCTTTTCTGTTTAGACTTTCATTGATTTGCCAAAAAAAAAAAAAAGAAAGAAAAAAAATCAAGCACTGTTTGCTTTGAAACCCATTACTAGTGCATCAACAATTATCTATCATTGTAAATAATCTCCTGGTACTCTGCATATATTTAGTTCTGAAGAGCAAAGTATGATTCAGTGCATAAGTGGCTTGCAGATACTATAGCACTTGATGGAAACACTTGAAAGCAATTGCATCATTTTCTGGGCTCATGCCACTGTCTCTTATAACCGGTGTACAAAACTAGAAAAGACAAGTTGAGATGGTACAAATGCACCAAATCATGTTTGCCCTGGTTGCATAGCTCAAATATCTATATTTTGGATTTAAGTGGCTAAGGAACCCACTAGAAACCATGAGACTTGAGTTCTAGTCTTGCCTTAGTCATGAAAAACCAGCTGGTTGGTTTCTCAGGCCAGCTCACCTGACATGGTGCTATGGGGAAAATAGGAGGAGGAAGGAATAGTTGTATGTTCACTGCCTTGATTTATTTAACAAGTCCTACTTGTTACATAGTTTTTGAGATGCTTGTTTTATTAAGTGGATTCCTTAGCGTATGGGGGCTTCAACTGATAAAACATAAAAAGAGGTATTGGATAGCAATTTGATATTGCCATCTTTTAAGTATGAAATTTTGGGAGGTCATGACCTTCAAATGTAGCCTATAGTACAGACGGCTAGACTTGGTAACATTTCCTAGAGAGTAATTGTTAAAATCTGCATCTAGTGAAGAGTAGGTTGAAGTAGAGTTACTCTTATTCTGCCATTCGTTAGCTCTTATCGCTCCTTCTCCCAATATATTTCTTTTACTCTTGCTAGAAAGCTTCTAGAAGAGGACAAAATCATCACGATCTTCGTGAATATCATGATCTCTCATCTACATGGCCAATTTGTATAGAGATTTTTAAAATTAGGACTAGGATCAAATGTTGCCCATTCTGGTATATAAATCCGTGAAATGATCAAGATATAATAGCAGATTAATGAGGGAGGTTTTATTACCTCCCTCATTAATCTGCTACTGTATCTTGATCATTTCACGGATTTTTATTATGAGGGAGGAAATTATTACAAATTCCTACAGAATTTTCAAAGTGCCATTAGGAAGCAAGATTCTGCCCTCAAAATTTGCAGGAGAAATCAACGAACTTGCTTTGAAGGACTTCCCGTTTTCACTCAATTCTGATTGGTTTTTATGTTTCTATTCCCCTCCTTCCATCCCCATGCGCTTGTTCATTGTATATCTAGTTATCAGTGAAGAACTGCACTTCCTTTACAGTGTTAGATTTCCACTCTGTCTTTTCTCCAGGAGCTCCTTTGGGTGTGATGCTTTCTTTTCCAGTTTTTCTCATAACAATACCCCTGCAAGGTGGATGAGGTTGAGAAGAAGTGCCTGGCCTAAGTGGCACTGGTAGCTGAGTACCTGAAAAAGTCTTGAATCCATATCTCGCCAACTGATATCCAACAATGTAAAACCACAGCATTATGCTTTGCAGCCGGTTAAGGCAAAAGCAATGGGGAAGCAGCTTTGGCCAATTGACTATTGTCTGTAATATAAAGTTGGCCATTCTCTTGGCACCTGGGTTCTAAGGAATAAATCATTGTCTTGCACATTGGCAAAGAACGGTATAGGGAAACCTATGAAAGATCCAAACTTTTTTTTTTATACATGATACAGGAAACAGGAAGAACAAAAAAAAATGTAGTTTTCCTGGGCTATTGCATTAATGTTTTACAAACCAAGGAAAAACACATGAAATATGGGGTTTTTTTCCTGTCCCCCCCCAAAAAAAAATGCTTAAAAATTGCAAGTTCAACAGATGCTGCCTGACTCTGTTTATGGAGCTTAATTTAGGAAGGCTGTCATCCTACTACTCTCTTTTCAAAGAATGATTTGTTGGTCTCACATCAGAAGAGACACGTCTTTGATTGCCCTGTGCAAAAAAGAAAAAGAAAAACCAGTTATCTAGTCAGCCTACCGGCAAGGCAAAGACTTCCTTAAATAGTTTTTAGCTGGAAAAAAAGAGGGATGAGAAGAAGTTGTTCCTATTCTGTTAATGTGGCAAGATTTTGTTTAATTTTCTGGACAAAGGTCCCAGTTTTATCCTGGGCCACCATGACTGGTCTGTAAAACGATTCAGGTGATGGCAAGACAGCAACAAAGAGGTAGAGTTTTCTCTTTTTTACCATCTAGTGATCGTCAGTTTTGTACTCCTGATCTTAATAGTATTTATTAAGTATTATAATGGGAGAATGAGCCACATTTAATACAGCAAAATTCACTTCTCAGCAGGCATGCAAGAGAAACTGATATCTTTGCTTCTTTTAGATGGAGCTGTTGTTCTTTTCTTTTTTTCTCCTCTGTTGATGTTAACTCTGGGCCATTGAATGTGTCTGTCATTCCCAGATTTGGGCTATACACGTTTCTCAGCCCCTCGAGAAAATATAATGGAAGACCATATCAAAGAAAGCATGATTTGGATGTCTTGTTTGATTGGACCTAAAGAATGATGATTGTTTTGTGGCTTGAGAAGTAGAATACATGCAATTGGATCAATGAGACAGAGAAATAAGTGTATATTTTTTTAAAACTGCATGATGTGCTTTGCAAGGCATTCAACAGCCATGTCCTACCCTCCGAATTCTGGAACATTGACAAGTGTGCCACAAACACTGAATAAGCCAGCTGCCTTTTCTGTTTTGTGTTTTTTTTCCAGTCTAACTGAAACCTAACTCAGGAGAATTTAGAATAGAAAAACAGGGCAAGAAGAACGAGCTGTCGCCTTCATTAGCACTATAGCCTTACTGGCATGTACCTTTGACTCCTAATTCCAAACATCCCAAACCCTGCCCTTGTTGCATTTAATTTTATAACTTAGGCTGGTTGGAAGGTTGGCCATGGAAAATCTTTCAAATTTAGACTTCACAAATGAAGCACCAATTTAAAAATATTTCTTTTTCATGGACTGACTCTAGACTTGAAAAAGCATTATCGGGGCATTTAAGCTCTAAACCAGACTTTGACACATCTGATGTCTTCTGCATGCTCTGGTTTGTAACTCCCAGTATTAGAATGAATAAAAGTCCCATCTGTTTTACACCCAGCAACATCTTACAACTTCCAAATCTCTCATGGCAGGGGTGAACACTGCCAAGTTCACCAGCCATCTAAAAATACTGGCTCTTCCCTTTCAGAGGAAAGAGTCTGTAACAGGGACATTTGGGATATTAACCAAGGCCAGCCAACATGCCTGGGCCCTTGCTTTCACATTTCTCATTCCAGGCTTCCCTTTAGATTGTTGGCCTACAATTCTCTTAGAAGACATTTTGAGAAAACTGGCAAGAGCATTTCCACATTTTCTCAAACATTATCAAAATTTGGGGGTTCCTGGGAAAAGTTATAGCTAAACTCTCCTCCTCTCTCAGTGCTCACATCACCCCTTCAAAATTCAGTAAGATTTGGAGCGTCAATTTTTTTTTTTTTTTTTTGGTGCCTCATTATCAGATGCCATCTGTAGAGGACGCATCTATACAACACTCAAGAAGTTGCACCATTATGGTTAACTGTTGTTCTTTGGCTTGAAAAATGGCAAGCAATGAACAGGTAGATCAGGGCTGTCAAACTCGCATCATCACGGTGTTGTCACGTGACATATCATGACTGTTTTCCCCTTCGCTAAACCAGGCACGGGCGTGGCCAGTGTGTGACGCATCCGGCCCGCAGGCCACGAATTTGACAGCCCTGAGGTAGATTATAAATTCTAATTATGACTGAGGCAAAAGCTGCCAGGCCAAAAGTCTGATATTCAGTTACTCTGAAGGGTCCATCCCATCACAAACTTGAATGGTTGGTAAAATATAGAAAATATATTGCTAGTAGGCTGCAGACAAATGTGTAGCATTGAAGGCAGAATATTTAGATTTAACTGTCTCCTCAAAAATATGTATGTGCATATATATATTTTAAATGTCAGCTGGCTTCAAAGCAGAACCTGGAGTGCAAGTGAACAAAATTTGCTAGCAATGCTTTCTCTCATGGCTAACACATTCTAATTCATCACTGTGCCTTTCTTAAAACAAACCAATGATCATTCTAATAGATTTTGACCACGTTCCTGTCTCAAGTTGTTTTAACTGGTGTTTGAGTTAAGGAGGGAGGGATATGGGGGTCTAAGAACAATTAGGAGTAAGAACAAATATTTAAGCAGTTGTATTTTTGCATAAAGCTTAGAATGTGTTATGTCAATTTGCACAAGACTGTCTTGTCCTGTTTAAGCAGTCAGGCATTCTTTCGTTTGTTTCAAACTCTATAGAATTTTAGATAAATCTGAGAAAATGTGGTTTTATGATGCCGATTTTTTAAAAAAATACTTTGGTATTTCTGAAGCAAATGTATTTATTTATGTGTATAACTAATTTGGTATTTTCACATAATTTACATTGTGTATGTTGTAGAGATTACAGTATATGTCAATACAGAAAATCTGTGCAGAAAAAATTAAAACTTGAATTTGTTTCAAAGGATGGTGGTATTTTTTTGGAACAGCCATATTCATCACTTTCTATTTGTTCTTTAGAACGTAAATTAAAATTATTTACTTTTCTAACAAAAACTGTCTCAGCTGTAATCTTGGCATTTCCTGTTTCTATTGAGGATTCTAACATATGCCAACCTCCTTCATTGGAGTTTTTGCTGTTCAGTCCAACTGAATTATATAAAATATTTATCTGTGAAATCTTGCCTGTCATTCGTTTAAAGCATGAAATGGGAAAACATTACACTGCAGCCATTAGAAAAGTGGAAACTGATTCTATTTGTACACAGAGACACAAAGAAAAAATGTGCTGGAATGTTTTCTTAAGATATAAATAAATAAAAATATCATGTTTAGAAGACTAATATGTTACAACATTTCTACTACAATTAGAACAGTTTGTTTAATGATAATTCGAAGTTACAATGGCACTGAAAAAAGTGACTGTTTTTCACACGACCATTGCAGTGTCCCCATGGTCATGTGATCAACATTCAGATCAGGGGTGGGTTCTAAATTTTTTTACTACTGGTTCTGTGGGCGTGGCTTATTTTGTGGGTGTGGCTTGGAGGTCATGTGACTAAGTGGGCGTGGCTAGCTGGTCAGAGTCATTTCTGGAAGGTCCTCGCACTTACGACCAGTCCTCGCACTGACGACCCGACTCATTTGTTTGCTTTTAATCTGATCAGCTGTAGGACGGCCCTTTGAAGCCCCGCGGCAAGAGTTTAAACAGTTTTTTTCCCTCTAGTCATCAGCTGGGACTCAGGAGGCAGCAATAGATTGGGGGTGGGACCAAATAAAAGGTAAGAATAACGTGGGTGGGTGGGGGAGTGGGAGGGCGGGGGGGAGAACCGGTTCGGTGATGTCATATCATCACCGCTACTGGCTTGGCCGAACCGGACCGAACTGGGAGAAACCCACCACTGATTCAGACAATTGGCAACTGATTCGTATTTATGACCATTGTAGTGTTTTGGGGGTCATGTGATCAACTTTTGCAATCTTCTGACAAGCAAAGGCAATGGGGAAGCCAGATTCACTTAACAACCATGTTACCAACTGCAGTGTTCACTTAACAACTATGGCAAGATAAATTGTAAAATAGGATAAAACTCACTTAACAAATATCTCACTTAACAACAGAAATATTGGGCTCAATTGTGGCTGTAAATCAAGGATTACCTCTACTATTTTTATTAGAGTTTCGGGGGGAGGCATGAAATTATGCTGAATGGGAGGATTTCCCAAAAGTAGCCTTTCTTAAAAGTTTTCAGTAATTAATCGCTTTATAACTCAAGTAGCAACTGACCAGACACAAAGCTGTTGACAGCCCTTCCCAATCTGATGCTGTTTACGTGTTGGGATTATAGTTCCCACCATGTCTAGCCAATAGCTATGCTAGTTGGGAATTTAAAATATTCTAAGACATTGGGAAACACCAGGTTATAAGGGAGGGTGAAGTCATTGTAAAACATTTATCAGTGATCACAAAGAACTTCTACCTACAGAAACTAAATATATTCTTCCAATAAGTAAGTAAATTCTCCTTTCCTTTCTAGTTGAACACTACCAGAAAGAGAAGAAATGACAAAAATCGAAGGCAATTTCCTTAGGCTTCCCAACAGTGCAATGACATATAATTTCTGAAAGCTTCAATCCAAATATTACACCTGAAATTAGTTACAATGGCTCTACATGAATGTCCATTCAGAAATAAGTCCACCCCCACTATCCATTTCAATGGAATTTCTTCCCAAGTAACTAACTATGATTGCAGGTGATAATAATCTGGAGCATATTCATTCAATTTGATAAGACTTATTTTGCCTAATATTGCTTGGCTCAGTCTTTCCCATTTTTACTTGAAAACAAAGAGAGATTTATGCTGGAAAAAGCAGACATATGGAGTATTTGCTGCTCTCTGAGCTCAATAGTTTGCCTGAAGGGTTATTGCCTCAATAACCCCGTTAGGTAACATCATCAGTGCATTGAAATGTCGACAAGCAAACAATCAAGCTCAGAGAACACCAAGGACCCCACAGTTGAATCCTGAGCTACAAATATTCTGTTCTAAAGCAGACACAGTATGACCCTTCTTCCTACTAACATATTCCTTTGAAGTCAAACTTGCATAAAATGATACATTTAAATACTAATTATAGTTTGCAATGTTAATTATAATTTTAACACGTAGGATGTTTCTGCACAATAATTTATAGCATCTTCTAGGATCATCCGATTATTCTTATGTCAAAATGGCAGTAATGTGGGCAGGCTTTATATCGCTTTGATAGTAACTGAGTGATGCTGGGCACATAGTGTAAGTCACTAGTGTGGAAATCAAACGAAAAAAAATATTTCCATGTAGATCAAGCTACTAATGCTCTGCAAATATGCAGAAATGTCATACAATGATGCTTGGTTTATCCATCATTTAGTTTTATCCTGAAAATCAACTGTAAGCTCCTTGTTTCACAATGCTGCTAAGACAAGTTCTGTATCAGTTTTTTTTTGCAAAACTTGTTCTGACTTCCTTTCATCTAGATTATAGCCAAACACACTCAGGCTGAAGTGTAATTTGACAAGATGTGATAGAAACCATCAGTGTAAAAGCAAGATAGCAAACAATGAGCAAGATTGCTTGTTTCCTTTAAAAAATATGTTAGCAATCTTTGCCAAAATGACACCACCTGGTCTTTTTTAATTAGATAGAGAAAAAGATACTTAGATCTCCCCAATCTGTGTCACTGCATGGGGAAAAATTCCTGTCACTTCACATCCAATGGCAATTCATCAAACTGCCAGGAAGCAATAGAAATTGCAACCCAATATATCTTGAAGGTCCCCATTGGGGATGACTGAAGCAACCAATCAATTATGGAGAATTCTGGCTATCAGGCAAGATGATCAATTTATATTTTTTTGGATGGGGTGACACGGAAGTACTAGGAATGTACAAATCGACCTTAAACCAATTCAAATTTTTGAACCTTTAAAAAAATGCACCTTTTCTACTTAGACTTCCAAACCAATTGGGAAAACCAATCAATTTAGACTTTTACTTCTATTAGGAAATAAAATGCACAAAAACTTGTCAAATTTCCAAATTAGGATTTATTCTTTCCAGATTGATTCACAAGCATCAAATATCAATGTGCAATGCTTCAAATTTCACCCACAAGTGTTTTTGAATCCATAGGAGCCTGAATGCAAACTCAGTGTCTGTTTGCAAGCTTGTTTAGGAAGCAATCACATTTATTCCCAAGATTGCATGATTGCAGTTGCATGGGCCTATAAAAAGGAGACCATTTTAATGAGTCACAGGATGGTGTTATACTCTTGTGTGTGATCCAACAAATCTCTTCTTATTCAAATCCAGATCACTGGACAGTTTTAACATCCAATTAAATTTGATATTTCACATCCCTTCAGAGATTCAGCTTGGAAATTTGAATCAAACCACTACATCAACCAAATGGCCTATGAAATATCTTTTGCATGCTGCAATTTCTTCATTTTAAGATATGAAAGGTTTTCTCTCTTAGCAAAATGAGCAAAGAAATCTATCTAAACTGTACTACTTATATAATGATCAAATGTATTGATCGTTTGCTGCCCTTATATGTTACTAAAAATGAACCACATCAGTTTATGTAGGACATGTTTGCTCTTATTAAATAAATACACTGAGAAAAAATGAGAACATCCCCTTTCCTTGGATTGCTTTTTGCGCTTTTTGCAGAGCTAAGTAATGCAGTGAATCTAAGCTGCAGTCTTGAAGACAAAAGCTGAAGAAAAGTGCATAGAAAAACTATGTAAAATTATCTTGTTTTCAAAATCTTTGGAAGCCATAGCGAGGGAGACAATTAATACTGTTGCAAGATTTCAACTGGGCACACAACAGAGAAGTTAAGCTTGGTCCTAAAAACAAAGATCAGTCTGTGCAGGTGACACGTTTGTACACAATCCTCAGTGTCCTAGCAACTCAGTGCCTTTTGTGTTTCGCTTTCTCAGGATACCAATTTCATCAGGATCCTCATCATTTTGCTCTGTGGATACCATATTTCCATAATCGCAGTCCAACAGCAGCTCCCCTTTAACTACTTCTTCTGTTTCACTGCAGCTATCGGAGAAGAATCCTGCATTTTCTGCTAGAACAGCAGGATCATCCTCTTCATAGTGGCAACAGTAGCATTCCTCGAAGTTATGGCCAGTCCCGCTCTGAACATTGTATGTGGTCTGCTGGTTCTTCTCAGATCCTGATGCAGAGCCATTGTTCACTATGGCAAGAGCAGATAAAAGAGTTTCACTATATAAACAGTCCTCATTCTCCAGAAACTCCATTTGCTCAGCTATCTCTTCAGCAGAAGGCTGGCTTGGATCTGGGCAATCTACCAGAATCGTGTCCTGTCTGTGCCTGAAGCAATCAGAATTATCATAAACAGGAAAGGTCTCTTCTGGATAACCTTAAGACATAAAATAAACTGGTCTTAGATTATACACCTTATTCCCAATATTATTAGAATTTCTGATAAAAGTTTCCAGACTTTGGGAATTTGGGGAAGCCATGTGGTAAATGCATTTACCTGACATTAATTGCAGTCACACTTTTTTCAAGCCAGTGTTGCTGGAATTCTAGATTAACACAATTAATCTGTGGGAGGGGCAGCTTGGTGTAATGGTTAAGGCACCAGGCTCGAAACTAGGAGACCCTGAATTCCAGTCCCACCTTGAACATATGGGTGACCTTATGCCAGTCACTCTCTTTCAGCCCTAAGAAGCAGACAATGGCAAACCACTTCTGAAAAACCTTGCCAAGGAAAACTGCAGAGACTAGCTTAGGTAGTTGCTATGTGTCCAAAACTGACTCAAAGGCATACAAAACCTTTGGAGACATACAATGTGGTACCACAGATACTTCACTTCGCACCTGCAAAGTGCCCTTTTCACTATAAGGGGAGTAAAAGATAAGATATAAAGCTGAGC